TATCGAGCTTAGAGAGTTGAAACACAGGAAATGCAATAACAAACACACAGGAGCCATTGGTCCATAAGGAGCAGAGACCACTGCCTTAGACCCTCCTGCACCAGAGGAACCACTCCGAAAGACCCAGTGGGCAAAAAGTGAGAAACCTCGGCGAGACCCACATGCTCCCCCTCCCTCTGGTGGCAGCAGAGGGATAGTGCAGGCCGAGGGCATTATTCACCCTTCACATTGTATTCTCGACTGAAGATGTTATTTTACATTTATTAATACTTGGTGCAAAGTCTCATTATGATTTGTAATGTAATGTAATATAATAATAATAACATAACAATAATAAATAACAATACATAAATAATAATAATATTTTTTATAACATTTCTACTTTAACCCTGTAGAACCCAGACATAAACATATTTGTTGAATGATCTGCTTCATGTTCATACAAATGCATTAAACCTCAGACTTCTTTTGCCATAACCTTTGAACTTGATGTTGCATATTTGTAACTGAGGGTAACTCTGTCCGAGCATGATCTGCAGTGTAATAAAGGTGTATTAAAGATTGTAATAAGGTAATAACTGCAGGAGTCTCGGGAGCAGTGAGAGTGACGCAGCTCAGAGGTCGATCTGTGACAAAGCTTCTATTGTGCAGAGAAACTGGGACACGCTGTCATTAGCCACTAACAACACCAGCCCACAGTGTCTCAAACTGTGGTCTGCCAAGGCAAGGCAAGGCAAGGCAAGTTTATGGCAACTCTGCTCCCTGGACTCTGTGGAGGAGGTGAGGGACAGGAGGCCCCTGGACTCTGTGGAGGAGGTGAGGGACAGGAGGGTGGTAGTCAAAGCCACCTCCATCATGAACAATACCTCCCACTGCACAGGACTGTAGAGGAGCTGAGGAGCTCCTTCAGTGGAAGACTGAGACACCCTCAGTGTAGGAAGGAGCGCTACCGCAGGGCCTTTATCCCCACCACTGTCAGACTGTACAATAAGTCACTTTAAATGATCACTGTGTGAAAACCTGCACAACTATTGACACTGTTTCCAATTGACACTTGTCACTTTTGTTTTATTGTACATATATCCTGCATGTAACATGTTTGCACATTTCCTCCTTTTTCACAATCTGAGTGTCTCTATCCACTGTTTTTAACATAGTTTTAAACATTGTCAGAGAGGAGGCCTGTCTCACATCTTCAGGAAGACTGTTCCAGATTTTAGCAGCATGAATCTGAAAAGCAGCCTCCCCATGTTTAGTTCTGACTCTGGGCACTAACAGGAGTCCAGTCCCTGTGCTCCTCAGAGTCCGGGCTGGTTCATATGGTATTAACATGTCACTAATATATTTTGGTGCGAGGCCATGGAGAGACTTGTACACAAGCAGAGCTGTTTTGAAGTCTATTCTTTGAGCCACAGGAAGCCAATGCCAAGCCAGGAAGCCATGTTTATGAGAGCCACTTGCAGTTCACAGGGCACCTTCCTTATTATTATTTTGATATATGTAATAACATTAGGGACAATCAGATAAGTAACATTTGAAATATGCAGTATGAATGTGGCGTTTGTGCAGGTGTAAGTGTGTTTTTATTACCGTAGACTGTATACAGATGGACAATGCTAACCCGCTTGCTCAATGAACCCAATAGGAGGATCTTTGTTTACACCAGTGTGCACATGCGCCACTGGGTCGCTGAACGGCACATACTGAAGCATGAATGCGACGAGTACTTTTAAAGACTCAGTGGGTGAATAGCACTGTATATAAGCACTTTAACGCAAGAAGATCAGAGGTGATATAAAGACAAGCTAAAAATGAGTATATGAGACCGAACTGAACAAATTCAAAGCCCATATGAGACCTGGGATGACGAGAAAAAACATTGGTCAGACTCGCCTCTGTCTTGGCACCGATCTGCTGGGACTGGGACTCGGAGACATTTATTCTTACTTCATAGAAAACCCGGGACCCTTCACTCAAGAAGGGTCCTTGGTGAAAATCCATTTCTTTACCGCGTTAAAGTGGCCCGGCATTTTGCCACACATTAAAAGCGGGTTGCCCGTTTTTACTGTTACTCACGGTAAAGGTGGAACAGGAAGCCGCGGGGATGAGCAACCAAAATGCAATGTTTGAAATTAATCATCATTCATTCATGAATGAATGAATGAGTGAACAAGTGCGCAGTGAAAGTAGTTGCAAAACTTAAATTTATTTATGAATTTTTATAACCTGCCCCCCTCGCCTTCCCACGTTTACCGTAGAAAACGGCATAAAAGGGCACAGCCGATTTTCGCTGTTCTTTTCCGAAAGAATTAGAAAAACAAACTTAAGCTGTCCTCAGCGGGCCGTACAACCGACTACACAACAAGAATGGACCATTTGATTTAGTAAAACCTCTCTCCAAACGTCTAAAAATAGCTAACTCTCTAGCATCCAGGTAGCGTTCTATGCTGTATTGCCACCTGGTCACGTGACCGGAGCAGAAAAACTATAAACAACGACGTCACTCAAAGCACCTCCTATTGGGAAGTGCTTATGGTGAAGTTTGGCTTCGGTCTCTGGCTCCTATTGACTTGTATATAACATTATCTCCTCTAACTCGGTTACGTTTGTGTCACACTCACCATTTTGGGCTTAAATCTGTGGTTTCTCTGTGATCCTGTTGTTTTTTATTGTGATGTTGTCTTACATCCAGATATGAGTCATATAAGGACTGACTAATCAAAGGCATTCGCTCAGGGGAAACTCCAGCTTGCCTTAGGAAGTCGTAGGAAGCTAACCTGGGCGGAACAATTGCCCATATTAGGAAATTGCCTTCAGCTAGCTTATTGATATTTACAATTGACCCCAAACAAATAAAATTACACACAAGGGAAAGAGGAAAGAAAGCGCAATGTTATAATAATATTTAGAACTTCCATCCATCCATCTTCTTCCTCTTAATCCATTTCTGGGTCAGGGGGGTGGTGCTTGTTTTCTAAAAGTTTCACTCTCTCTTCACTATTTTAAAAGTTACTGACATCCACTTCCTGAGTTCGGTTCCACCTCCACACAGGGCCTTTCAGTGTTGGGTTTATGTGCGCCTGCATAGGTTTCCTCCAGGTGCTCCGGTCTCTCCTACCACTTCAAACATGTTCAAAAGGTCTGCTCCATCACTGGAGAGAAGAAAACTGACTGTCTCTGAAAGATGATAAATAAATAAATATTACTATCCTCTGCAACCAACAAAAATCATACAGACATCAATCAATAAAAAAGACAAGAAAAAAGTAGATGGACAGACAAGAATATCCGACAGACCAGGTATAGACAGTAGGGGTGTGACGATACTTTCTCCCGCGATTCGATTATCAATATGCATTTGCCAAGTATCGATCGTATTTTTTTTTTTTATACTTTCTTTTTTTTTTTTGAATTGGTATCAATACTTAATATATGGCTACATTGCGCATCTCCATTCTAGTCATCATGAAATAAAGAGCATTTTTTCTTTTATTTTTGCCATAAATTGGCATATTGTATATTTCTGACCAATATATCAATAATTGTCATATTGTGATAAAATCGTTATCGTGATATCGTTATTGTGATATTATCGTTATCGTGAGCTTTCTATCGTGTATCGTATAGTATCGTGAGGTACCCTTAGGTTCCCACCCCTAATAGACAGACAAGACCAGGACAGAGGCAAACCCAGACACAGACAGATCCAGACAGACACAGACAGAGGCAGACCTAGACACTTACCCAGACAGACACAGACACAGACCGACCCAGACAGAAACAGACAGAGGCAGACCCAGACACAGACAGACCCAGACAGAAACAGACCGAACCAGACAGAGGCAGACATACAGTAGACACAGACACAGACATTGTGATGACATTCACTCCTGGTGCTCCTCTCCTCGTCCTTTAGGCCTAACCATGTTTGAAATTACTTTTACTTTTAATGGACTGTGTTGGGCTGTTTTATAGGGATCACTTATTAATGCTAATGCATCACCGGTTACAGAACAGGAGGAATGAGGATAAGATAAGTGAACAATAACTAAAATATTACAAAAAAAAAAAAAAAAACCTAACTTTAGCAAAGTGAAATCCTGTATATTCTAGGTCAGATTTGTATACTGTAGTTCAGCCATTCCCAAACTCAGTAACACCGAGGCCCCCTTAAAAATCTGACGGGTCTGCGTGGCCCCCCAAAATAATAACCAAGAAGACAACATTAAGAATAGGCTCTTCTGGTTATTTTATTTTGGGGAAATAGCCTCTGCTACAAACATTGTAATACAAAAATGATTACAGTGGATTATTCAAGTCAAATAATGAACACAAATATTTTAATATTACAAACAAAACATTATAAATTTAACATTAAATAATTATATTATTTTTTTATTTTTTTTATGACCTCCCGCGGCCCCCCTGCAGTACCCTCGCGGCCCACCAGGGGGCCGCGGACCCCACTTTGGGAGACACTGCTGTAGTTATACATCTGTGCGTGTTAGCATGTGAGGGTCAGGGACAGTATTCAGATGATTGCATGGATGTTATTGTGAAGTCAGGTCGTTCCTATTGGCTGAGGGCGGTGTCTCTGGTGGTGTGTAATCTGCAGCCGTAATCTTCAGTTCGTATTTCCACACAGTCTGAAGTCCACGCCCTCTGCCTCAGCTGTGACCCTGAGCTCAGGGGCAGCTGGTACCTGTGACTACAGAAAGCAGCTGGTACCCTGGACCACCTGTGATGGTTTATGTTCTGGTCCTGAATTTTGGCCCAGTCTTTGTTTGATGTGATGGCTCTGACTTAAACAGATGGAGACAGTGGCTGGCTGCAGCTGGGGTGGCTACGCAAGGGTCTTGCGGTGATCCTTGCGTTGGTCATGTGACGTCACGTCACTGCCGTAAGCACCGTGCCACTAGACTATACACTAGGCTTTAAGTTCACACAGAGACCTCAGGGTTTAGAGTTGGACCTCACAGAACATGATCTCTCCTTCGCAGATGACCGGAAGAACGCGGCTGGAGCTCAGATGGAGTTCAAGTCCAGGCAGTGGTTCGGAGCCTCAGTGCGGTCGTCCGGAGAACACATCCTGGTGAGACCAGAGAGAGACCAGAGAGAGACCAGAGAGAGACCAGAGAGAGACCAGAGAGAGACCAGAGAGAGACCAGAGAGAGACCAGAGAGAGACCAGAGAGAGAGACCGGAGAGAGAGACCGGAGAGAGAGACCAGAGAGAGACCAGAGAGAGAGACCAGAGAGAGAGACCAGAGAGAGAGACCAGAGAGAGAGACCAGAGAGAGAGACCAGAGAGAGAGACCAGAGAGAGAGACCAGAGAGAGAGACCAGAGCTTGTCTTTTGTCCCTTTTTTGTTTGCAAAGATGAGTATTTGCAGCCTTTGCACATTTTGACTTTGATGATTGCATTTTTTATGATGAGTGGTTTAGAAGTTCAGTCCTCAAGTCTGCTCGTGTCTCCTCATGTCTCTTCATGTTCCTCATCTCTCCTTGTGTCCTCATTTCTCCTGGTGTCCCTGTCTCCTCATCTCCTCTTGTCCCTGTGTCCTCATGTGTCATGTTTCCTTGTGTCCCTGTGTCCAGGCCTGTGCTCCTCTGTACCAGTGGTCCACATATGGGATCTCGGAGCGGGAGCCCGTCGGGACTTGTTTCCTGAAGAAAGGACAATCCATCGTGGAATATTCTCCCTGCAGATCAAGTGAGTGCAAGTCTGGGATTGGACCTGGACTGGATCTGGACGAGACCAGGACGAGACCAGGACGAGACCAGGACGCTGAGTGTTTTTCCCCCCTTGGTCACAGAAGCAGAGTCTGATCACAGACATTTTTGTCTGGGGCCAAATCAAGATATACAGTATATACAGTGATCTTCACTATAACACAGTTCCCTCTGGTCTCTTTCTTGTCTCTCTCTCTCTGGTCTCCCTCTGGTCTCTCTCTGGTCTCTCTCTGGTCTCTCTGGCCTCTCTCTGTTCTCTCTCTACTCTCTCTCTGGTCTCTCTTACAAATGTCCCAATCTGATCTCAAGATTGGGCCGTTATTTTATGGGGACGACTTGCCCGATCTTTTGAGCCGTTGTTGTGAAGTTACAGTTTACAGTAAGTGCACACAATCATTTAAAACTAAGTTGTGGAAACATTTTAGAGGGTGCTTCATGCAGTGTGTTCATGTGGCTACTCGTTAAAACATGTCAAAAGTGTGGCAATTTTCAGTATTAGAAAAGGACAGCACAAAAGCAAAGAATGCAACATGTTGATTGGGAGAAGTGGGAGCAGCAGAGCTACATTCAACACTACAAATCTGATTCTGCATTTGAAACTGAGCATACGGCGTAGTATTTTGTTTTTGTGACTTGGGGTTACACTACATTACTATTCGTTAGTGATGGGCAGATGAAGCCCCGTAACACACAAAGACTTTCTTTGTCAGATTGTTTCAAATGAGTTGGAGCCTCTGAGCTCATACTACCACTACATCTAGTGGACAAATGTAATCATTGCAGCTTCTGAATACAGAAAACGCCGCACCACTTTTAATAATAATGACAATTTCACCATTAAACATAAAAGATAGATAACCCTTTAAAAAATACATCATTTGATGAGACAATTCCTTGTTAGGTTCAACGACAGTGGCTCAGTTGGTAGAGCATTGGCCTGAAAGTCGTGGGTTCGAGCCCATTCCAAGATCTGCATCACGACTCCCTCTAATGTCTGCTACATTAGAGGGAGTCTGTGTTGTGTCCTTGGGCCAGAGATTTAACTCCACTTTGCCTGAAACCCCCTCTGAAAGATCAAGGCTCCTGTGGACTCACCACCTGCAGGAGGATCAGTCAGGGGCTGGTGCTCTGTGATTTGGGTGCAGCTCTCACTGCCACCCTCTCCCTGACTCAAAAATGGATTAAGGGGAAGAAAATGGATGGATGGATTGAGATTCAATAAAATAAAACATTTTCCCAAACTATGGATCTCCGTTTACCATTAAAGTCACCAAAATCACCAACACTCTGTGTCCTCACTACACGACATTGTAAAGAACTATTGATACATCATTATAAATTATATAAATTAGGCAAATAAACTCAATATTTGCCAATACCAATGATTCAAAGCATTGGATCGGGAATCAAAATCGGATTGGGGTAGGATGCAAAAAATAGTGATCGAGACATCCATAGTGTCTCTCTCTGGTCTGTCTCTCTGGTCTCTCTCTGGTCTCTCTCTGGTCTCTCTGTGGTCTGTCTTTCTGGTCTCTCTGTGGTCTGTCTCTCTGGTCTCTCTCTGGTCCCTCTGAATAAATATGTGTGTCTTCCTGTGGTGCAGGTGGGACGTCTCCAGAGAACCAGGGCTTCTGTCAGGCCGGCTTCAGTGCAGACTTTGTAAAGGTAAAGTTTATTTATTATTAAAGTTTATTTACTAAAACTCAAGTCTCCATCAAACAAAATGTTTATTTTTGGAGCAGAACACCAAAGTGGTCATTGGAGGACCAGGCAGCTTCTACTGGCAGGGTAAGTACTGCTACTAGCATTGGTAATTCTGTTTGTACTACTACTGCTGCTACTACTGCTGCTAGTTCTGCTAATCCTGTGTACTCATGGAGACCTTGAGCTTCAGTCTGTGATCATTGGTGGCTGAGTGGATAGCACTCTTGCTTCTCCGCAGGAAGGTCCTGGGTTCGAATTCTGTCAAAACAGGCCCTTCGTCAGTGGAGTTTGCATGTTCTCCCCGTGTCTGCGTAGGTTTCCTCCAGGTGCTTCGGTTTCCCACTACTAAAAATATGTACAATAGGTCTGTTATGGCACTCCTGTACTGGTGACCCTGCTCCTGTGACTGTGTGTAGTGGGAGACAAATGCCCACAATAGTAAACCGCTTTGTGACTCTGGTCTGTGAAAGGCGGTGTAAAAATAAATATTACTATTAGTCGCTGAAGCAGCTGTTGTGGTTTAATCCTGTTACTCTCCTGCTGACTGTGGCCGAATGTGTCACTTGTATTCCATGTGATCTTGTGTAAAGCTGGGGCATTTATATTTCAAAACTCTAACCCAGTGAAAAAGAGAACCTGTTTTCTTATCAGATGAAGACTGCCTGATCACTGCCTTACTTTATACAGATGGACAATGATAACCTGCAAGCTCATTGAAGTGCTCATGGACAAAGTTTTGCTCCAATTAACTTCCATTGAAAAGTAAACTAGTTCTAGCATTTTTCATTTATAGACAGCCTATAGCCCGTCCCAATTCTCACCCTTCCCTTAAAAAGCACCCTTTCCCTAGATTTTGTGCGTGCCCGCGGGGGTTAGAGTGTCCCAATACTTAGGGAGAAGAGGCGAGGGCCTTCACACCCTTAAAAACCACCCTTGAGCGCAAGGTTGGTGCATTACGATAGTTGTTGGTAAAATAGCTGTTGGGCAAAGCCGCGCCACAATGAAACAAAACAACATGAAACACCCGCGCACAAGTTTGTGCTGAACGTGAGGAAGCTTCGAAGCGTGTGCGAGTCATTCAGAGTTTTTAATGCGTGTGTTGGTGCCGTGTGTGGTGACGTTCGCTCCCGAAGCGGCTGCAGCGTGTGGCGTTCACTGAGACTTCAGAGACGTGGATCCATGTTATTTTTATAGATCCATGTAGTTCAGAGCATCGCTTTGACACAGTTTGCTTTGTGATCCGCGGGACCGCGGCTGTACCGTCTGTCTCTGTGCGCGTATGTGTGTCTGCCTCTGTGTGTGTACATATGTGTTTGTGTGCGTGTGTGTGCGTCTGTCTCTGAGTGCGTGATGTGCAGCAGTCCTGTACCTAATATACCAAATCTTCATATGAAATAGAATTAAAATAAGTCTAATTTTAATAAATAGTTTGTTTCACAAAGTCATATCTGTGTCAGATCTTATCTGTGGTGAAATCAGACACTTTGATAATGTGTGTGACGTGGAACACGTTTGCTGCGTCATTTGCATATTGTCCCCTAGATCCAGGGGTGTCCCAATTCTTAGGGAGATTATCCTGTGATTGCACTCCCCTATGGGAAGGCACTTTTCTGGTGAGGGCACTCAGAATCGGGACGGGGCCTATGTCTTCCTCCCTGCTCACGGCTACCCCTCCACTTCCTCCTCCTCCCTCTCCTCCTTCCCCCCCCCCCCCCCCCCCCCCCTCCTCCTCCCTCGCCCTCCCTCCCCTGGGCCTGTTCCCCATTACCCGCTGGTTAGCAGTGCTGCCTGTTGCTCTTGTAAAGAGAGCTGACGTTTACAGGCATCTAGTAAACAAACCACTTGTTGACGTTTTGGTTTCCGTTCATTTAAAGCACCCAACAGCGTGATTAAAGCTGGGGTACCTAACTTTCACACAACAACAAACCCAAAGGTGGGATCACATCCATGTAACTGTAACTTTACATGTGTTTCAGCTTTTTTAGACAAAAAAAGGAAACGAAAGAGGACTCAGCCGATCTTCTCTCAGCCCAAAGAGGCAAATAGTGACTCACAGGGCTCTTTATCACAAGTATGCAAACTATAGCATGTTTTCTAAAGTCTGATTTGTTCACTGATTTGTTTACTTTTAGTTGACTGTTGGAACAAGAAAGTTAGGTTCCTCAGCTTTAATGCAGTGCTGAATTTCCACAGTTAAACAGAAGTGAAATGTGTTTATTTCCCGGTTCTGAATGTGGTGTCTTGATAATGCCGTGTTTGACGTGTTGCCGCAGGTCAGCTGATCTCCGATGACATCACAGAGATTTTTGAACGAACCAAAAATGATTACATCAACAAGTACAGCAACACCATGGAAACCAGGTCTGCAGGCGCTCAGTACGACGACAGCTACCTGGGTACGTCTGCTACACCTGGTACACCTGGTACCCCTGGTACACCTGGTACACCTGGTACCCCTGGTAACCCTGCTGCACCTGCATCTGGACATCACGATCTCCTTCCTCCTCCTCATTTCTTAACCTTCTGTTGAGGTCTTAAGGAGCTGGTAGGAGACAGTGAGGAGGTGCAGCAGGTAGGAGACAGTGAGGAGGTCCAGCAGGTAGGAGACAGTGAGGAGGTCCAGCAGGTAGGAGACAGTGAGGAGGTCCAGCAGGTAGGAGACAGTGAGGAGGTCCAGCTGGTAGGAGACAGTGAGGAGGTCCAGCAGGTTGGAGACAGTGAGGAGGTCCAGCAGGTAGGAGACAGTGAGGAGGTCCAGCAGGTTGGAGACAATGAGGAGGTCCAGCTGATAGGAGACAGTGAGGAGGTCCAGCTGGTTGGAGAGAGTGAGGAGGTCCAGCAGGTAGGAGACAGTGAGGAGGTCCAGCTGGTAGGAGACAGTGAGGAGGTCCAGCTGGTAGGAGACAGTGAGGAGGTCCAGCTGGTAGGAGACAGTGAGGAGGTCCAGCTGTTAGGAGACAGTGAGGAGGTCCAGCTGGTAGGAGACAGTGAGTGATTTTAGGCCGAGTTTAGGCCGAGTTTAGGCCGAGTTTAGGCCGAGTTAAGACCGAGTTAAGACCGAGTTAAGACCGAGTTAAGACCGAGTTTAGACCGAGTTTAGACCGAGTTTAGACCGAGTTTAGACCGAGTTTAGACCGAGTTTAGACCGAGTTAAGACCGAGTTTAGACCGAGTTTAGACCGAGTTTAGGCCGAGTTAAGACCGAGTTAAGACCGAGTTTAGACCGAGTTAGGACCGAGTTAAGACCGAGTTTAGACCGAGTTTAGACCGAGTTTAGGCCGAGTTAAGACCGAGTTAAGACCGAGTTTAGACCGAGTTAGGACCGAGTTTAGGCCGAGTTAAGACCGAGTTAAGACCGAGTTTAGACCGAGTTTAGACCGAGTTAAGACCGAGTTTAGACCGAGTTTAGACCGAGTTTAGGCCGAGTTAAGACCGAGTTAAGACCGAGTTTAGACCGAGTTAAGACCGAGTTAAGACCGAGTTTAGACCGAGTTTAGACCGAGTTTAGGCCGAGTTAAGACCGAGTTAAGACCGAGTTTAGACCGAGTTTAGACCGAGTTAAGACCGAGTTTAGACCGAGTTTAGACCGAGTTTAGGCCGAGTTAAGACCGAGTTAAGACCGAGTTAAGACCGAGTTTAGACCGAGTTAGGACCGAGTTTAGACCGAGTTTAGACCGAGTTTAGGCCGAGTTAAGACCGAGTTAAGACCGAGTTAAGACCGAGTTTAGACCGAGTTTAGACCGAGTTAAGACCGAGTTTAGACCGAGTTTAGACCGAGTTTAGGCCGAGTTAAGACCGAGTTAAGACCGAGTTTAGACCGAGTTAAGACCGAGTTAAGACCGAGTTTAGACCGAGTTTAGACCGAGTTTAGGCCGAGTTAAGACCGAGTTAAGACCGAGTTTAGACCGAGTTTAGACCGAGTTTAGACCGAGTTAAGACCGAGTTTAGACCGAGTTAGGACCGAGTTAAGACCGAGTTAAGACGATAGTGAAATATGTTATAGTTAAGGTCTTAAAACATGGGACATAAGTCTAAAGTTTTTCTTCTGACCCTTTGATCTGCAGGTTACTCTGTGACTGTGGCAGACATGAACGAAGACCTGAAAGATGGTGAGTGACTTCAGAACCATAAATGGTGGAGAACCATGTGTGTTAGAACCATCAGTGTGTGTTAGAACCATCAGTGTGTTAGAACCATCAGTGTGTGTTAGAACCATCAGTGTGTGTTAGAACCATCAGTGTGTGTTAGAACCATCAGTGTGTTAGAACCATCAGTGTGTTAGAACCATCAGTGTGTTAGAACCATCAGTGTGTTAGAACCATCAGTGTGTAGAACCATCAGTGTGTGTTAGAACCATCAGTGTGTGTTAGAACCATCAGTGTGTTAGAACCATCAGTGTGTTAGAACCATCAGTGTGTGTTAGAACCATCAGTGTGTGTAGAACCATCAGTGTGTGTAGAACCATCAGTGTGTTAGAACCATCAGTGTGTTAGAACCATCAGTGTGTGTTAGAATCATCAGTGTGTTAGAACCATCAGTGTGTGTTAGAACCATCAGTGTGTGTTAGAACCATCAGTGTGTGTTAGAACCATCAGTGTGTTAGAACCATCAGTGTGTTAGAACCATCAGTGTGTGTTAGAACCATCAGTGTGTGTTAGAACCATGTGTGTTAGAACCATCAGTATGTAGAACCATCAGTGTGTGTTAGAACCATCAGTGTGTGTTAGAACCATCAGTGTGTAGAACCATCAGTGTGTGTTAGAACCATCAGTGTGTTAGAACCATGTGTGGAGAACCATCAGTGTGTTAGAACCATCAGTGTGTGTTAGAACCATCAGTGTGTAGAACCATCAGTGTGTGTTAGAACCATCAGTGTGTTAGAACCATGTGTGTTAGAACCATCAGTGTGTGTTAGAACCATCAGTGTGTGGAGAACCATCAGTGTGTGTTAGAACCATCAGTGTGTTAGAACCATCAGTGTGTGTTAGAACCATCAGTGTGTGTTAGAACCATCAGTGTGTGTTAGAACCATCAGTGTGTTAGAACCATCAGTGTGTTAGAACCATCAGTGTGTAGAACCATCAGTGTGTGTTAGAACCATCAGTGTGTGTTAGAACCATCAGTGTGTGGAGAACCATCAGTGTGTGTTAGAACCATCAGTGTGTTAGAACCATCAGTGTGTGTTAGAACCATCTGTGTGTTAGAACCATCAGTGTGTTAGAACCATCAGTGTGTTAGAACCATCAGTGTGTTAGAACCATCAGTGTGTGTTAGAACCATCAGTGCGTGTTAGAACCATCAGTGTGTGTTAGAACCATCAGTGTGTAGAACCATCAGTGTGTTAGAACCATCAGTGTGTGTTAGAACCATCAGTGTGTGTTAGAACCATCATTGTGTGTTAGAACCATCAGTGTGTGTTAGAACCATCAGTGTGTTAGAACCATCAGTGTGTTAGAACCATCAGTGTGTGTTAGAATCATCAGTGTGTTAGAACCATCAGTGTGTTAGAACCATCAGTGTGTGTTAGAACCATCAGTGTGTGTTAGAACCATCAGTGTGTGTTAGAACCATCAGTGTGTTAGAACCATCAGTGTGTTAGAACCATCAGTGTGTAGAACCATCAGTGTGTGTTAGAACCATCAGTGTGTGTTAGAACCATCAGTGTGTGTTAGAACCATCAGTGTGTGTTATAACCATCAGTGTGTAGAACCATCAGTGTGTGTTAGAACCATCAGTGTGTGTTAGAACCATCAGTGTGTGTTAGAACCATCAGTGTGTGTTAGAACCATCAGTGTGTTAGAACCATCAGTGTGTTAGAACCATCAGTGTGTTAGAACCATCAGTGTGTGTTAGAACCATCAGTGTGTGTTAGAACCATCAGTGTGTGTTAGAACCATCAGTGTGTGTTAGAACCATGTGTGTTAGAACCATCAGTGTGTTAGAACCATCAGTGTGTGTTAGAACCATCAGTGTGTGTTAGAACCATCAGTGTGTTAGAACCATGTGTGGAGAACCATCAGTCTGTTAGAACCATCAATGTGTTAGAACCATCAGTGTGTGTTAGAACCATCAGTGTGTGTTAGAACAATCAGTGTGTGTTAGAACCATCAGTGTGTAGAACCATCAGTGTGTAGAACCATCAGTGTGTAGAACCATCAGTGTGTGTTAGAACCATCAGTGTGTTAGAACCATCAGTGTGTAAGAACCATCAGTGTGTTAGAACCATGTGTGTTAGAACCATGTGTGTTAGAACCATCAGTGTGTGTTAGAACCATCAGTGTGTAGAACCATCAGTGTGTGTAGAACCATCAGTGTGTGTTAGAACCATCAGTGTGTTAGAACCATCAGTGTGTAGAACCATCAGTGTGTTAGAACCATCAGTGTGTAGAACCATCAGTGTGTGTTAGAACCATCAGTGTGTGTTAGAACCATCAGTGTGTGTTAGAACCATCAGTGTGTGTTAGAACCATCAGTGTGTTAGAACCATCAGTGTGTTAAACCCATCAGTGTGTGTTAGAACCATCAGTGTGTGTTAGAACCATCAGTGTGTTAGAACCATCAGTGTGTGTTAGAACCATCAGTGTGTGTTAGAACCATCAGTGTGTAGAGCTGTAAGAACAACTGCCGGTTTTAATGAATGAAAAAACACTATTTAAAGCTTGGGTTCCTTATTATTATTAAATATAAACTTTACATTTTGATAAAAATGGCACAGTCTTTGCTCTTTGAAATGTATGGATGTCTCAACAGCAGATCAGAGAATCAAACAGTTCAAACATAAGCAATGATAGCAAACACGTAGAGCCATTGGTCCACAGGGAGGGGGATGACCACGGTCCAGAAATGGTAATTAACGTCCATAAATGTCCCGGATCAGCACTGTCCTTAGACCCTCCTGCATCAGAGAGGAACCACTCAAAAATAAAGGAGAAAAAGTGAAAAGTCTTAGGGAGCTGGTAGGAGATGAATGAGGAGGTCCACATTGAGAGAGGAGTCCACTCCTACGGACAGACCTGCTGTAGGTCCAGGACTCAGAATCCACGTATGGTCGATACATTGTGTATTTTATAATATTGACGAGAGAGAGGTCTGTAGTTTATTGCGTGCATGATATTCCTAAGGATTGATCAAATCTCTGCTTTTCTTCTGCACAGATTACATCACTGGAGTCCCGCGAGGAGACAAGGCACTGGGTTATGTAAGTCAATCATTCCAAACTTATATTTTTTGAAACTTAAAAGAATAACAAACAAGATTCTAAATGAACAGTTTATAGCTTGAAAAGGGGTTAGACCATAGACTGTGTAACAGAGTGTGACATCACCAGTGTTAGCCTTAATGTGGAAGAAGAATAAGCATGTGAGCCTAAGCTGGAGCCAGTTTCCTTATATGGGCATTTCTTCTGTGGCGAGAGCTTCATGCCGTAACCAGGGCAGACAACGGGCAGTGTTGCTAAGACGGTTGCTAAGGCGAGCTGGAGTCTCCCCTGAATGCCCAATTAAAAACTTATTATTATTATTATAATGAAGGTCTCTGAATGGTCAGTCCTTATATCAGGGATGTCAAAGTCAAATACATCAGAGGCCAAAAAACATAATTTGCTTCAAGCTGAGGGCCGGACTGGTTCAATGTTTATTAAAATGATGCATAAAACCAAGAATCGAACCAAGACCTACCACAGTGTACCGTATTTTATTCAGTGATTAAATTAATAATCCAATGTTTTTGTACAACTCTGTCAGTCATTTCAAGAGAAGACATTTTTCAACAGGCTCAAAAACAAACCTCCTTCAAAGAAAAAACACATGTCCTGAACATTAAATAAATAATCCAATATTTTCTTACGGCTCTGTGCGGCCGGTTCTAATCCTAATCAAATATCATCCTGGGGGCCAAGATAATTCATTCATTCGCGGGTCGGGTCTGTCCCCCCGGGCCTTGACTGTGACACCCATGCCTTATTTGGTCATATCTGGATTTACAAGAACAATTTTGCAATATAAACGGCCAGATTACAGAGAAACCACAGATTTAAGCCCAAAGTGGTGAAGTCAATGGGAGCCAGAGAGAGGAGGAGGAGGAGCTAGAGCTAGAGGGTTAGCATAGTCATCATCATCATAACTTAATTTTTATTGTCTACTTTATCTTGAATTCCAGGTGAACATCTTCAACGGCCAGAACATGGAGTCAGTGATGAACTTCACAGGGACACAGGTGAGAAAAGCTGCACACATGAGACCAGGCTTTTTCCCCCTGCAGCCTCAGACAACAGTGGGAAAGGTTGGCGTGTTGTTTCGGCCCGTGTCCAACTTCAGACTTCCATAGTACAGTAAGTCTTCTAAAGTCTCTGGGCCAATCGCATTATAATGGCCTACAGCGAGTTTATGCATGTGGAGCAATGTAGACATTTTCAAACACATTTTTTCTATAATGGTAAGAGCTTCACTCACCCAAACGCAGCTCCACGGCTCGTTACGCTGTCAATATGTGGAGTACTGTCCTTTGTGGGATTTTAGAACCTTTTTCTGGTTTCTCTCTCTCTGGTCTCTCTCGCTATTCTCTCTCTCTGGTCTCTCGCTGGTCGCTCTCTGTTCTCTCTCTCTGCTGTCTCTTTGATCTCTCTCTTGTCTCTCTCGCTGGTCTCTCTCGTGTCTCACTGGTCTCTCTGTGGTTTCTGGTATCTCTCATGTCTCTCTTATCTTTCTCTTGTTTCTCTCTCTGGTCTTTGTCTTGTCCGTCTCTGGTCTCTCTCCTGTCTCTCTCTCTGGTCTCTCTCTTGTCTCTCTCTGGTCTCTCTCTATATTTTCTCTCTGATCTTTCTCTGGTCTCTCTGTGGTCTCTCTTATGTTTTCTCTCTGGTCTCTTTCCTGTCTCTCTGTGGTTTCTGATATCTCTCATGTCTCTCTGGTCTCTGTCTTGTCCGTCTCTGGTCTCTCTCCTGTCTCTCTCTGGTTTCTCTCTGGTCCCTCTCTTGTCTCTCTGTCTGGTCTCTCGCTTGTCTTTCTCTTTGGTCTCTCTCTCGTCGTTCTTTTGTCTCTCTCTGGTCTCTCTGTGGTCTCTCTCTTGTCTTTCTGTCTGGTCTCTCGCTTGTCTTTCTCTCTGGTCTCTTTCTCTCTCTTGTCTCTCTGGTCTCTCTCTGGTCTCTCTCTTCAGCAGTGGTGAGTTCAGCTGCTACTGGGAGGATTTACCTAATTCTGGATTATTTTGAGAACACATCAGCCCCGTCATAAACCAGGGACCACTGGATAGCCTTATTCCTTACATTTGTTGGAATAAATCATTTTTCTTGCTCCACAGATGGCGGCTTATTTTGGACACTCTGTCGCTGCTACCGACATCAACAAAGACGGGTAAGACTCCCAACTCCAGTTCAATCTAAAATAACTAACGAGCCGTTGATAATTAAACAAGAGATCCATTTATTAATCTAACAAATGGATAATTGAAATAGCAACTAACTATTAATGGATTATTTGTTTCTTTGAACCTTTCCTTCCATGCTGAGAGGTTTGATGACTCAGATCTTATGTATCATTTATCGATTGTTCCTCATCAGTCACAAACCTGGAGTTGTTTTAGATTCATCCATGCTAAGATCTGGAACTTCTGGCACAGACATGAAGCTCAATTGAATTCCTTTATTTTTATACAGCTCTAAATCACAGCAGCTGATTCTCCAACAGCAGATGCCCGCAATTGTAAAGTTCTTTGCTACTCTGGTCTGTGAAAGGCGCCATATTAATAAAGATTACTTACTTTCTTACTTAATTAGATCAGAGAATCAAACAATTGGGATTCTCAGTTTCTTCAGTCAGTTTTAGTGTTAAAGTCCTGGTTCTCATAGTGTGAAAAAGGACAAATCCTCTCAGTTGAATGTAAACGTGACAGACAAAGTGACAAACCCCCGTCAGCAGCAGCTCTTGTAGAAATGTGTGTGTTCCTGGTATAAAGACGTCTTCCTGGTGTGTGTGTTCCTGGTATAAAGACGTCTTCCTGGTGTGTGTGTTCCTGGTATAAAGACGTCTTCCTGGTGTGTGTCAGGTTTGTGGATCTGTTTGTTGGAGCTCCACTCTTCATGGACCGAGGCTCCGACGGGAAACTGAGGGAGGTTGGACAGGTGATGTCACACACACACACACACACACACACAGGTGATGTCACACACTGTTTCCACAAACACAGAAACAGTCGGCGTCTCCTGGGCAGAAAAGCCTGGGCAACCTTTTATAAAATGTTTCTGTAACCTCTATCTTACTGTCTCTCTCTTTCTCTATCTCCATCTCTCTGTCTCTCTCTTACACTCTTTTGCTTCCTCGTTTTCTCACTCTCTCTCTCTATCTCCATTACATCTCTCTATATATCTCTCTATCTTTACATGATCGTGATCACAGTAGCTTCCAGAATTGAGTTTAATGGCATATTATGTTATACTTCATTTTAAAGTCTAATTATTATCAACTTTCTATATTTAACTATCAATCTTTCAATACATCTGTTCATACCTGCATGCAAAAGCCTGATCACATCAGACCTCTTAAGCTGTGCAGGTCAGGACCTGGTTAGTACTGTGATGGGAGACCTCTGGGAACACCAGGTGCCACAGTAGGGCAGCTGCGGCTGTAAAGTGCCAAACTGTGGTGGTGTCCTTAGGCAAGACACTTCACCCACACTAGAATGAGTGTGGTGTGCGTATAGATGGTTGGTGGTGGTAGGAGTGGCTGATGGCACAGACTGGTTGCCTCCCTTCTATCAGTGTGGCCCAGGGCAGCTGTGGCTACAGTAGTAGTTTATTACCACTGTGTATGAAGTGAATGAATAATGACAGGTGAGAGTCCAGAAAAGCGCAGTATAAAACCAATGCCCAGACCAAAATGAGTCTGACCCCGTTCTAAACATTTCTAATCAAGTCTTCCACGCTGATGGTTTGTATCATGTTTGGACAGTGATAATCTGACCCTAGTGCAGTAGTTTGGACAGTGATAATCTGACCCTGGTGCAGTAGTTTGGACAGTGATAATCTGACCCTGGTGCAGTAGTTTGGACAGTGATAATCTGACCCTGGTGCAGTAGTTTGGACAGTGATAATCTGACCCTAGTGCAGTAGTTTGGACAGTGATAATCTGACCCTGGTGCAGTAGTTTGGACAGTGATAATCTGACCCTGGTGCAGTAGTTTGGACAGTGATAATTTGACCCTGGTGCAGTAGTTTGGACAGTGATAATCTGACCCTGGTGCAGTAGTTTGGACAGTGATAATCTGACCCTGGTGCAGTAGTTTGGACAGTGATAATCTGACCCTAGTGCAGTAGTTTGGACAGTGATAATCTGACCCTGGTGCAGTAGTTTGGACAGTGATAATCTGACCCTGGTGCAGTAGTTTGGACAGTGATAATCTGACCCTGGTGCAGTAGTTTGGACAGTGATAATCTGACCCTGGTGCAGTAGTTTGGACAGTTCTGACCCTGGTGCAGTAGTTTGGACAGTGATAATCTGGCCCTGATGCAGTAGTTTGGGCAGTGATAATCTGACCCTAGTGCAGTAGTTTGGACACTGATAATCTCTGTAATCCGCAGGTGTCTGTGTACTTGGGCCGTGGAGGGTTCTCGTTCCAGGATGCGCAGCATCTGACGGGTTCTGAGGTTTACGCTCGGTTTGGATCCGCCATCACGGCGCTGGGCGACCTGGACATGGACGGCTTCAACGGTCAGACACTCATCACAGCGACAGCTCTTCAAAATCCACTGTTCTCAGCTTTGTTTTAGTTCAGCAGGTTGCAGGTCTTCATTCCAACCAAGCAGGAGCACAGCAGACTCTACCCACTTCCTCAGGTCTTTAGGTTTAGACTCGAGGAAATTGGAGTTAGTTGTTAATAGTTGTTTCTCTTTGTGATTTACACAAACAACACAAAAAGAACCACAAATGCAAAGGATGAGTGTGAATGCTGATATTTAACCACAGTCTTACCTGGACCAAATCACACATACACAAAAGATCTAGTTCAGGCATTCTTTAATTACTTGGTTGCCGTCCAAGGAGACAGATCTTAGAGGAGAGAGCACTGGCAGCTCATCGTCATTGCAGAACTTGTCTGACTTGAAACAGGCTGTAAGGTCGTTTTTAAGAAGAAAAGACACACCTCCACACAGTCATACAGTACCTTTGATATTTGCAAGTCAACAGTCACAGAACAGGACGGGACAGGAGCCACAGAGAACAAAGAGACAGTGGCGTTGTCTGTGAGGTCCATGACATATTCAAAGACCCTGTCCTGGGAGCATCTGGACCCCCTATGTCTAGACTTCCTGGAGCCAGAAATGGATTTATTTCAGTATACAATTTATTTAGCCACATGTGAATTATTAAAATAATAACTTAAACAACTTTCCAATGACAATGAGCTATAAACAAAACTTCCACGTATAAAATACTGGCTACAAGTTTTCCTCTCCTTTAAATAAAACATTAAAATAAAAAATCCTATTTGCTAACTAGCGCATTAGCATTACTGGTTATTTACTTTTTTTAGGTAAATTAACTGTAAAAGACAGCCATTGACCTATTGACTTTTACTTGAATGATGCATGTCCATCCATCCATCCATCCATCCATCCATTTTCTTCCGCTTCATCCGTTGCCGGGTCGCGGGGGCAGCAGTCTAAGCAGAGACACCCAGACTTCCCTATCCACACACACTTCCTCCAGCTCGTCCGGGGGGACCCCAAGGCGTTCCAAGGCCAGCTGAGAGACAGTCCCTCCAGCGTGTCCTGGGTCTTCCCCGGGGTCTCCTCCCGGTGGGACGTGCCCGAAGCACCTCCCGAGTGAGGCGTCTGGGAGGCATCCTGAACAGATGCCCGAGCCAACTCAACTGGTTCCTCTCGACGTGAAGGAGCAGCGGCTCTACTCCGAGCTCCTCTCGTGTGACCGAGCTCTATCTCTAAGGGAGCGCCCAGCCACTCTGCGGAGGAAGCTCATTTCGACCGCTTATATCCGCGATCTCGTTCTTTCGGTCATTACCCAAAGCTCATGACCATAGGTGAGGGAGGGAACAAAGATTGACCGGTAAATCGAGAGCTTTGCCTTTCGGCTAAGCTCCCTCTTCACCACAACGGTCCGATACAGCGACCGCATCACTGCGCACGCTGCACCGATCCGCCTGTCAATCTCGCGCTCCATCCTTCCCTCACTCGTGAACAAGACCCCGAGATACTTGAACTCCTCCACTTGAGGAAGGACCACTCCACCCACCTGAAGAGGGCAGGCACCTTTTTCCGGTCGAGCACCATGGCCTCAGATTTGGGGGTGCTGATTCTCATCCCAGCCGCTTCACACTCGGCTGCAAACCGTCTCAGTGCATGCTGCAGGTCCTGGCTCGTTGGAGCCAACAGAACAACATCGTCTGCAAACAGCAGAGATTAAATCCTGTGGTCCCCGAACTGGACCCCCTCCGACCCCTGGCTGCGCCTAGAAATTCTGTCCATAAACACAGTGAACAGAACCGGTGACAAAGGGCAGCCTTGGCGGAGGCCAACATACACCGGGAACAGGTCTGACCTACTGCCGGCAATGCGAACACAGCTCTGGCTCCGGTCATACAAGGACCGGACGGCCCTCAGCAGAGGACCCCGGACCCCGTACTCCCGGAGAACCCCCCAAAGGACACCCCGGGGAACACTGTCAAACACCTTCTCCAAATCCACAAAGCACATGTGGACAGGTTGGGCGAACTCTCATGAACCCTCAAGCATCCAATGGAGAGTATAGAGCTGGTCCAGTGTTCCGCGGCCGGGACAAAAACCACACTGCTCCTCCTGAATCCGAGATTCGACCATCGACCGTAGCCTCCTCTCCAGTACCTTGGAGTAAACCTTACCGGGGAGGTTGAGGAGTGTGATCCCACGATAATTGGAACACACCCTCCGGTCCCCCTTCTTGTAGAGAGGAACCACCACCCCGGTCTGCCACGCCATTGGCACCGCTCCTGAGCGCCACGCGATGTTGCAGAGACGTGTCAGCCAAGACAGTCCTACAACATCCAGAGACTTTAGAACAGTGAGAGACTTGTCCCCCACCCGGAGGCGGAGGGACCCTCTCATTCACCGGGGAGAACTCCAACACGTGGCGGCTGAGATGGGGGGCAATGAGTATGGCCACCCCCGCTCGCCGCCTCTCCCCGCAGGAAACACCAGAAAAGTAGAGCGTCCAACTCCTCTCAAGGAGTTGGGTTCCAGAGCCCAAGCTGTGTGTGGAGGTGAGGCCGACTATCTGTAGTCTGTATCGCTCAACCTCCCCCACGAGCTCGGGCTTCTTCCCCCCAGTCCGATGACGTTCCACGTCCCAACAGCCATATGCTGTGCGCGTGGACTGGGTCGCCGAGGTCTAAGCCGGCCGGGGCCCGGGGGCTAAGGTCCGGCCACCAGACGTTCGCATTCGAGCCCCAACCCCAGGCCTGGCTCCAGAGTGGGGCCCCAGCTGCGCCATGCCGGGCGACGTCACGTGTTCTATTTTCGTGCTATCCATGGTGGCTTCGACTGCTCTTTGTCTGACTCGTCACCTGAGACCTGTCTGCCATGGGAGACCCTACCAGGGGCTTGTAGCCCCAGACAGCATAGCTCCCAGGATCATCCGAATACTCAAACTCCTCCACCACGTTAAGGTGGCAGTCCAGGGGGGGAATGATGCATGTTGTGTGTTGTTTTTCTGATGTTGTGTGTTTGTGTGTTGTTCAGATATTGCGATCTCAGCACCGTACGGAGGGCCTGACCACATTGGTCTGGTCTACATCTATAACGGGCGCTCACACGGCCCTGAGCTCACCCCCTCTCAGGTAACACACACACACACGGGTATCACACACCCACAGGTAACACTCACACACATGGTTATTACACACCCACAGGTAACACACATACACACCACAGGTAACACTGCATTAGAGCTGTGTTAGAGCCTGCTGACAACTCTACAACATGCCACCTGTTCAGCCAATCGTGTGAGTGGAAACAAAACAGTCTCTCTCCTGATTGGTCCATTGGTTGCTGTGTTTGTGCTATTGCTCTAATACTTATGGATCAGTCAGCTCTAATCAGCTTCTGTGTGGTGGTCCTTCAGGTCCTTCATGGGAAATGGGCGTCCACCTACATGCCTGCAAGCTTTGGATACTCCATGTCCGGGAACACAGACATTGACGACAACGGATACCCAGGTACGGGAATATTCTGGAGGAGAGGGGAGAGGAGGAGAGACAGGGGAGAGAAGAGGAGAGGAGGGGAGGGGAGAGGAGAGGAGATGTGGAGTGGAGGGGAGGGGAGAGGAGAGGAGGAGAGCTAAAGCTAACGTTTTTGTGCTGAGAAAGTGGTCCTGGTCTCAGTGTCCACACCACACCCTCCTCAGCAGGAGCTCACTCTGCTTCTGTTCTTTCAGATTTAATGGTCGGTGTGTTTGGAGCAGACAAAGCAGTTCTGTACAGGTAAACCGTGTGTGTCTGTGTGTATCTGTGTCAGTGTGTGTGAGTGTTGTATAAGCAGTAGTTTAATGAGCCCACCCTGCTTTCAAAGGCGTCTCAGTTTAATACACTTTTATCCAGCTGGTTTTATTAGCACAAAGCTTTAGGCGAGTTTAACCCATTCTGCTGTGATAAAGATCAAATCCAGGACAAAGGCTGTAAATCCAGGACTAAGGCTGTAGATCCAGGCCTGAGGCTGTAGATCCAGGACTGAAGCTGTAGACCCAGGACTGAGACTGTAGACCCAGGACTGAGGCTGTAGACCTAGGACTGAGGCTGTAGATCCAGGGCTGAAGCTGTAGATCCAGGGCTGGGGCTGTAGACCCAGGACTGAGGCTGTAGACCCAGGACTGAGGCTGTCGACCCAGGACTGTGGACTGATCTGTCTGTTTTATTGTAAATAAAGTTTGAATATTGATGTGTGTCAGATCTCGTCCTGTGATCAGTGTGAACGCCTCCTTAGACCTGACTCCTCAGATCATCAACCCAGAGGACAAGACCTGCACCATCCCCAACACCACCACCGCCGTCTCCTGGTGAGCGCCATGAGCACCAGAGGAGACCAGTCCAACAATAACATGTCTTTTTTTGCGGAGCTCAAATTTGAAAACATGAAAAATGTTTAACAATAAAAAATATATATTATACATTGATATTCACATGTGCTGCTGATACATCTGTGCAGATTCAAACCAGTTGTTTGTCTTTTGTTTCAGCTTCAAAGTGAAGTATTGCCTCAGGGCCAGTGGAAACGGGGCGCCCTCCAGACTCAGTGAGTGTTTTTGGCTTCTGTGTGCCGCAAAAGGAAGACGTTTGGGAAAATGTTGTGACAATGTTATAATATATAATCTCTTAATATCTCCTCCTAGTGTTTTATTATAATCTCATAATATAGTGTTTTAATATAATCTCATAATATAGTGTTTTAATATAATCTCAAAATATAGTGTTTTAATATAATCTCATAATATAGTGGTACAAAAACATAATGGAGAAGAGGGAGCAGCGTCTGCAGTTGGAGCTGTATCGGACCGTGGTGAAGAGGGAGCAGAGCCGAAAGGCAAAGCTTTTGATTTATCAGTCAATCACCCTCCCCTCATGAGGGAGCAGTGTCTGCAGTCAGAGCTCTGGTCCCCTACCTCACCTCTGGTCATGAGGGAGCAGTGTCTGCAGTCAGAGCTCTAGCCCCCCCCCCTCTTTCAAGTGAAACATGAGTTTCCTTTCCATAAGAGATAGAGGGCTTTGGGTTGAGAGCTGATTGGCTGAGGTCGGGTGGTCCTCTCTTTGTCCCCATTTTCTGCCTGAAAAAACAGATCTGAAAATGTGACAGGCCAGAGGTACATTAAACGAGTGACAGGACTCTTTCCTTACCGTTACAGGTTGAGAGAGTTGATCACATAGTTAATTTACTGTTATGTGAAAGTTAGGTACCCCAGCTTTAACCACTTCCTCTGCAGCCTTCAAAGTGGACGTGACGCTGGATCGTCTCAAACAGAAGGAGGCAACGAAGAGAGTTCTGTTCCTTCACAGCAAACAGTCTCAGTATTCCAGAGAGAAGGAGGTGACCAACATCGCCCTGGAGGACCACATCACCAACGACCAATCAATGACCTGCGAGGAGCTGCTGGTCTATCTGCGAGTGAGTTTAGACCTGCTTTAGCCCTGCTTTAGTCCTGCTTTAGTCCTGCTTTAGTCCTGCTTTAGACCTGCTTTAGACCTGCTTTAGTCCTGCTTTAGACCTGCTTTAGACCTGCTTTAGACCTGCTTTAGACCTGCTTTAGACCGGCTTTAGACCTGCTTTAGTCCTGCTTTAGACCTGCTTTAGTCCTGCTTTAGACCTGCTTTAGTCCTGCTTTAGACCAGCTTTAGACCTGCTTTAGTCCTGCTTTAGTCCTGCTTTAGTCCTGCTTTAGACCTGCTTTAGACATGCTTTAGACCTGCTTTAGACCTGCTTTAGACCAGCTTTAGTCCTGCTTTAGTCCTGCTTTAGTCCTGCTTTAGACCTGCTTTATACCTGCTTTAGACCAGCTTTAGACCTGCTTTAGACCTGCTTTAGACCTGCTTTAGTCCTGCTTTATACCTGTTGCTTCTCTTGTCAGGATGACAGAGAGTTCAGAGATAAAATCACTCCGATCTCAGTGACGATGGAGTATTCTCTGGATTATCAACGTGCTGCAGACCCCACAGGCCTCCTGCCCATCGTGGACATCACAGCGCCCTCTAACATCACCAAACAGGTACTGCACCCAGAGAGAGACCAGAGAGAGAGACCAGAGAGAGAGACCAGAGAGAGAGACCAGAGAGAGACCAGAGAGAGAGACCAGAGAGAGAGACCAGAGAGAGAGACCAGAGAGAGGGACCAGAGAGAGGGACCAGAGAGAGGGACCAGAGAGAGGGACCAGAGAGAGGGACCAGAGAGAGAGACCAGAGAGAGAGACCAGAGAGAGAGACCAGAGAGAGAGACCAGAGAGAGAGACCAGAGAGAGAGACCAGAGAGAGACCAGACAGAGAGAGAGACTAGACAGAGAGAGAGACCAGAGTGAGCCGGTTTACAGCTGGAGTAGAGGCAGTTAGCAGGATCCCTGTGAGTCTTTGGCCTCTTGTTAAAGCTCGTCTCTTCCTGTTCCCTCAGGCTCACATCCTGCTGGACTGCGGAGAGGACAACATCTGCAAACCTGACCTGAAGCTGTCCGTCAAGAGGTGGGGCCCTCCTCTGCTCGTTTACTACTGCCTCCTCACTGTTGTGTGCAGCGAGAAACAACAGAGACACAGGGACCAGGGACACGGGGACACAGGGACCATGTTTTAGTGGTCTGCACAGTATACAGTGGAGGAGTCCCTAACTGAAACACAGTTCATCATTCATGCCCTAAAACCTTCAAATCAGGTCAGAAATGTAGGAGTAATACTGGACTTATTTTAACAGTCACATCCAATCAGAAACATCAGCAGCTTTTTACCATCTGAACACATTGTGAGGATTCAAGATACAGTGTTTGAATCAGACTCTGAGATTTTCCTCCTGCTTTTGTCTCCAGTGTTAGACTGTGACAGCTGCTTTCTGGTCTTTACAAACCAGCTCCAAACAGCTGCAGTATATTCAAAACACTGAATCCTTTCCTATTTATGCAGCTAAAAATCTGTAACAGTCTCCCTGAAAATGTGAGACAGGCTTCTTCTCTGACAATGTTCAAATCCAGGTTAAAACAGTTCTGTTCAGCTGCTACAACCGAGGGATTGAACTGTGATTATTCATTCCTTGTCTAATTGTTTCTCTCTTGTTTTGTTCAGTCCTTTGAGTTGCCTCGTGTATGGACTGTGCTATACAAATAAACCTACCTTTATAATGATATACTTTGTTATGTTTCCGTAGTGAGCCACAGCAGATCTACATCGGAGACGACAACACGCTGACGTTAGAAGTGAGCGCAGAGAACCAGGGCGAGGGCGCGTACGAGGCCGAGCTGCACGTGTTCCCCCCACAACAGGCTGACTTCACTGGGGTGGTCCGCAACCAGGTACTACGCACGCACACACGCACACGCACACGCACACGCTCACTCTCACTCTCACTCTCACTCTCACTCTCACTCTCACTCTCACTCTCACTCTCACTCTCACTCTCACTCTCACTCTCACTCTCACTCTCACTCTCACTCTCACTCTCACTCTAACTCTCACTCTCACTCTCACTCTCACTCTCACTCTAACTCTCACTCTCACTCTCACTCTCACTCTCACTCTCACTCTCACTCTCACTCTCACTCTCACTCTAACTCTCACTCTCACTCTCACTCACTCACTCACTCACTCACTCACTCACACCCCCCAGAAATTTTATTTCATTTTAATTAGTATGGTTATTGTTCACTTATCTTGTGCTGTGTGCGCCTCATTCCTACTGTTCTGTAACTTATGATGCAACACTGACATTTCCTCGCTGTGGGTTGAATAAAGGATCTCTTTATCTTAGAAACATGTTTGTTTGCACAGAGTCTGAGCAGACTGTCCTGCGCCTACAAGAAGGAGAACAACACCAAGATGGTGGTGTGCGACCTCGGGAACCCCATGAAGGGAGGAACCAAGGTGATGCTCTATGTTTATACTGCTCTGTGATTTCACGGCTCTATGTCCTCTGTGATGTCACTGCTCTATGTCCTCTGTGATGTCACGGCTCTATGTCCTCTGTGATGTCACTGCTCTATGTCCTCTGTGATGTCACTGCTCTATGTCCTCTGTGATGTCACGGCTCTATGTCCTCTGTGATGTCACGGCTCTATGTCCTCCCAGTTCTTAGTCTCATTATAAAGTCAGAGCAAAGGAAGGTTTCTCACCCATCATCTGTACTTCTTAGCAAGTTTTCCCGACGTTTCGTCCTCAACCTGGGGACTTCTTCAGGGAATGAATTCTCGGACCGCGCGTTGGAGATTTATAACCTATGGGTGTGGTAAGCCACACCCTAATCCTGATACTAACTCGTAAACAATCTCTCAGGTCTGCTTGATGTAGAAGGGGAGCAGGTCTAACGACCCTGCTGAGGCTAACGACCCTAACTCCTTAGCATGTCACAGACCTATTGTCTGCTGGGATGCTCAAGTGGAGTGCAGGTCTCACCCCTCCTAACTCATTAGCATGTCACTGACCTTGTCCCAAGTTAGGGCGTTGTTTTTAGGATGTCGTCATAGATGCGAGGCAAAACAAATCTTAACCCTCCTCCTCTGTTAAGAGAAGGTTTTTGTTTCCTCACAAAAATGGCTTCTTTCACCCCTCTCTCAAACCAATTCTTCTCCCGAGCCAGAATTTTAACCTCTGTGTTATCCACCGTGTGGTTGGAGGCCTTGAGGTGGAGATGAACAGCCGACTGTGGCCCACTAGAGTTTTCTCTACGATGTTGGTAAAGTCGTTTCTGTTAGAGTTTGTTTGGTTTCTCCAATATAGTGGTCAGTGCACTCCTCTTCACTACATTTAATTGAATACACCACATTGCTCTGTTTGTGTCTGGGTGTTTTGTCTTTGGGATGCACTAATTTCTGTCTTAACGTGTTGAAAGGTTTGAAATACACAGGGATTTTGTGTTGCCTAAAGATTCTTTGTAGTTTCTCTGAAACTCCCGCCACATACGGTAAGGACACCCCTCTCCTCCTACTTTCTTCTGTCTGTAGGACTGTGTCTCTGGCCTTTCTCGTCCTTTGGGCTTTAGTAAAAGACCACTTGGGGTAGCCACACCTGGAAAGTGCTCTCTGAACATGTTTGGTTTCTCTGTTCTTTCCCTCCGAGCTAGTGGGGACCTGGTGGGCTCGGTGTTGAAGCGTTCTAATGACCCCGAGTTTGTGTTGTAGCGGATGATTCGAATCAAAGGCCAGGTACTGGTCAGTGTGAGTGGACTTTCTGAAGACCTCAGTCTCTAATTGTCCGTTCTCCAGTATGATGACCTTACAATCTAGAAAGGCGAGTTCACTCTCCTTAGCATCCTCGCGAGTGAAATTTATAAAAGGGTCCACCGAGTTAATGTGTGCTGAAAATGGTTCCACTTCCTGTTTCTTTAACTTAACCCATGTATCGTCTACATATCGAAACCAATGGCTTGGCGCTGTCCCTTGGTAAGAGCCCAGGGCTTGTTCCTCCAGTTTCTCCATATACAGATTGGCCACTATCGGAGAGACTGGGGAGCCCATCGCACAGCCATGAATCTGTCTAAAGAAGGTGCCTCTAAATTGGAAATACGTGGTGTTAAGACACATTTCAAGTATTTCACAGATGTGGTCAGCTGTTAGTTTCGTTCTCTCCCCTAGTGTGGCGTCTTTCTGTAGGCTTTCTCTTACAGCCTCCACCGCCTCTGTAATAGGGACCGACGTAAAAAGCGATGTCACATCAAACGAGACCATTGTCTCATCTGTGTCAAACTGGAGGTGTTTGATTTTATTTACAAATTCTTTTGTGTTTTCTATGTGATGGTGGGTGTTACCCACCAAAGGAGCCAGAATGGTTTTGAGGTGTTTAGCCAGGTTGTAGGTGATAGAGTCTATGCTACATACAATAGGCCGAAGTGGAAAGTTTTGTTTGTGTATTTTTGGGAGGCCATAAATACTGGGGATGGTGTCTCCTGGGTAAAGTTTGTAATATAGTGGTTTTTCAATAATGCCCTCTTTCATTAAGTTCTGAAGGAAGTCTATCATCTTTTTCCTAAACCCACTGGTAGGGTCCCTCTTCAATGGCTGGTACGTGTTGGTGTCCAAGAGTAACTGATTAACTTTGGCCTCATAGTCTGAGCTGTTGAGGATAACTGTGCATCTGCCTTTGTCAGCTGGTAAAATAGTTATATTCTCATCCTTTTGTAATGCCAATAATGCTTTTTGCTCATCTAATGAGACATTGGATTGTGGGGGCTTCGCACTTTTGAGTGTGGCAGAGACTCTCAGTCTGAGGGCCCCTGCCTCACTCTCAGTTAGTTTGTTGTTTCTAATGGCTGCTTCTGCTGCTGTGATGTATTCAATTGTAGGAATATCTTTTGGGGTTATTGCAAAATTTAGGCCTTTGGTAAGAACATCTTTTTCTGCTTGTGATAAATGCCGATCAGACAGATTTTTGACCCAATTCTCCCTGTCCAAACCTTGTCCAATTTCACTTTTAGAATGTTGAAAATAATTATGGTTTTGGAGTTTTAGAAATTTGCCTACCTGACGTTCTTTGGCCTTCTTGTGATGGTTCAGTTGGGCAGTTTCCGTAAACGTCCAAATCCTCTGAAAAAACTCTGGTGAGACTGCCAATTCCAGTTTGTGCTTAAGGCCCTCTATCTCGTCCTTTAGGTTTATAATCTCTATGTTAAGTCGTCGAATTCTTAAATTGAGAATCTTCATACAGTAGTTTTGTTGTATTTTCCTTGCCAACTGGCCTGTTTCTAATGCTTTTTGCTTTAAACATTTTGGGATAAGTTTACTCTGGCTACACCTAAGATTAAACCTAAGATGATTTCTGGCGTCTGCTAGTTTTCTTTTGATTTTCTCCAACCCGCGTGCCAAGACCAGGGCGTCTCTCCCAAAGTTGGCAACGATAAGTTTGTGTAAGCCCTCAGTCGTACAGGGATTAGTCAAAGCAAAGGAAGGTTTCTCACCCATCATCTGTACTTCTTAGCAAGTTTTCCCGACGTTTCGTCCTCAACCTGGGGACTTCTTCAGGGAATGAGTTCTCGGACCGCGCGTTGAAGATTTATAACCTATGGGTGTGGTAAGCCACACCCTAATCCTGATACTAGGGTGTGGCTAGCAATCTCCAACGCGCGGTCCGAGAATTCATTCCCTGAAGAAGTCCCCAGGTTGAGGACGAAACGTCGGGAAAACTTGCTAAGAAGTACAGATGATGGGTGAGAAACCTTCCTTTGCTTTGACTAATCCCTGTACGACTGAGGGCTTACACAAACTTATCGTTGCCAACTTTGGGAGAGACGCCCTGGTCTTGGCACGCGGGTTGGAGAAAATCAAAAGAAAACTAGCAGACGCCAGAAATCATCTTAGGTTTAATCTTAGGTGTAGCCAGAGTAAACTTATCCCAAAATGTTTAAAGCAAAAAGCATTAGAAACAGGCCAGTTGGCAAGGAAAATACAACAAAACTACTGTATGAAGATTCTCAATTTAAGAATTCGACGACTTAACATAGAGATTATAAACCTAAAGGACGAGATAGAGGGCCTTAAGCACAAACTGGAATTGGCAGTCTCACCAGAGTTTTTTCAGAGGATTTGGACGTTTACGGAAACTGCCCAACTGAACCATCACAAGAAGGCCAAAGAACGTCAGGTAGGCAAATTTCTAAAACTCCAAAACCATAATTATTTTCAACATTCTAAAAGTGAAATTGGACAAGGTTTGGACAGGGAGAATTGGGTCAAAAATCTGTCTGATCGGCATTTATCACAAGCGGAAAAAGATGTTCTTACCAAAGGCCTAAATTTTGCAATAACCCCAAAAGATATTCCTACAATTGAATACATCACAGCAGCAGAAGCAGCCATTAGAAACAACAAACTAACTGAGAGTGAGGCAGGGGCCCTCAGACTGAGAGTCTCTGCCACACTCAAAAGTGCGAAGCCCCCACAATCCAATGTCTCATTAGATGAGCAAAAAGCATTATTGGCATTACAAAAGGATGAGAATATAACTATTTTACCAGCTGACAAAGGCAGATGCACAGTTATCCTCAACAGCTCAGACTATGAGGCCAAAGTTAATCAGTTACTCTTGGACACCAACACGTACCAGCCATTGAAGAGGGACCCTACCAGTGGGTTTAGGAAAAAGATGATAGACTTCCTTCAGAACTTAATGAAAGAGGGCATTATTGAAAAACCACTATATTACAAACTTTACCCAGGAGACACCATCCCCAGTATTTATGGCCTCCCAAAAATACACAAACAAAACTTTCCACTTCGGCCTATTGTATGTAGCATAGACTCTATCACCTACAACCTGGCTAAACACCTCAAAACCATTCTGGCTCCTTTGGTGGGTAACACCCACCATCACATAGAAAACACAAAAGAATTTGTAAATAAATCAAATACCTCCAGTTTGACACAGATGAGACAATGGTCTCGTTTGATGTGACATCGCTTTTTACGTCGGTCCCTATTACAGAGGCGGTGGAGGCTGTAAGAGAAAGCCTACAGAAAGACGCCACACTAGGGGAGAGAACGAAACTGACAGCTGACCACATCTGTGAAATACTTGAAATGTGTCTTAACACCACGTATTTCCAATTTAGAGGCACCTTCTTTAGACAGATTCATGGCTGTGCGATGGGCTCCCCAGTCTCTCCGATAGTGGCCAATCTGTATATGGAGAAACTGGAGGAACAAGCCCTGGGCTCTTACCAAGGGACAGCGCCAAGCCATTGGTTTCGATATGTAGACGATACATGGGTTAAGTTAAAGAAACAGGAAGTGGAACCATTTTCAGCACACATTAACTCGGTGGACCCTTTTATAAATTTCACTCGCGAGGATGCTAAGGAGAGTGAACTCGCCTTTCTAGATTGTAAGGTCATCATACTGGAGAACGGACAATTAGAGACTGAGGTCTTCAGAAAGTCCACTCACACTGACCAGTACCTGGCCTTTGATTCGAATCATCCGCTACAACACAAACTCGGGGTCATTAGAACGCTTCAACACCGAGCCCACCAGGTCCCCACTAGCTCGGAGGGAAAGAACGGAGAAACCAAACATGTTCAGAGAGCACTTTCCAGATGTGGCTACCCCAAGTGGTCTTTTACTAAAGCCCAAAGGACGAGAAAGGCCAGAGACACAGTCCTACAGACAGAAGAAAGTAGGAGGAGAGGGGTGTCCTTACCGTATGTGGCGGGAGTTTCAGAGAAACTACAAAGAATCTTTAGGCAACACAAAATCCCTGTGTATTTCAAACCTTTCAACACGTTAAGACAGAAATTAGTGCATCCCAAAGACAAAACACCCAGACACAAACAGAGCAATGTGGTGTATTCAATTAAATGTAGTGAAGAGGAGTGCACTGACCACTATATTGGAGAAACCAAACAAACTCTACAGAAACGACTTTACCAACATCGTAGAGAAAAACTCTAGTGGGCCACAGTCGGCTGTTCATCTCCACCTCAAGGCCTCCAACCACACGGTGGATAACACAGAGGTTAAAATTCTGGCTCGGGAGAAGAATTGGTTTGAGAGAGGGGTGAAAGAAGCCATTTTTGTGAGGAAACAAAAACCTTCTCTTAACAGAGGAGGAGGGTTAAGATTTGTTTTGCCTCGCATCTATGACGACATCCTAAAAACAACGCCCTAACTTGGGACAAGGTCAGTGACATGCTAATGAGTTAGGAGGGGTGAGACCTGCACTCCACTTGAGCATCCCAGCAGACAATAGGTCTGTGACATGCTAAGGAGTTAGGGTTGTTAGCCTCAGCAGGGTCGTTAGACCTGCTCCCCTTCTACATCAAGCAGACCTGAGATTGTTTACGAGTTAGTATCAGGATTAGGGTGTGGCTTACCACACCCATAGGTTATAAATCTCCAACGCGCGGTCCGAGAATTCATTCCCTGAAGAAGTCCCCAGGTTGAGGACGAAACGTCGGGAAAACTTGCTAAGAAGTACAGATGATGGGTGAGAAACCTTCCTTTGCTTTGACTAATCCCTGTACGACTGAGGGCTTACACAAACTTATTATAAAGTCAGGTTACTAAGGATCCTTTTTTTGGGTCGTCCCTTTCTTCAATCATGTTTTTGAGAACACACCGTGCAGTGGCTCCAAAGCACTTATCTGTCAGGTTTACAACTATAAGATTTATTTTAAAGATTTACAAGATTCTGATATTAATTATGTTATTATTTAAAGTATTACTACAGCAGGAGTTAGTAGTGTGTGGAACGTCCTTTAGCTCAATAACAGCAGACAGACAACACTTTTCTCCGGGCGCCACGTTGGGATATCTGTATGTGCATATTGTGGAGGCCGGACTGGTTTTCATGTGGTTGGCTTTGGATCCGAGTGTAAGCTAATTCTGTTAACAATGTAACAAACATGTGTATATTTGATAAACAACAGTATTCAGGAGAAAGAATCTCAAAGAATACAGTCTATCTTTAAGTTTGTGTAAAGTTTTGGATGGTTTTGTTGCATCTGCTGCTAAATTATTATTTGATACATTTGGATTCTATGTTGTACTGGTTTTTACATTTCAGTTCTTTCTTGACCAAAGCTGGACTAAAGCTAAAGAAGGATCAGTAATGTGGACAGATGCATGTTGTTGATAATTATGAGGACCATGCCCGTTGTAGCACTTAAATCAGGGGGGTGGTAGAAGTGCATGGATGGGAAAGCATGTGGCCCAGGTCTGGCGTAGCCCATTCTTCTTTACAAAACAACTCCAGCTCTGTCAAATTTGATTGTTTGTGAACCGCAATTTCCACAGCTTTTCATTTGGCTCTCGGTCTGGACTCTGATGTCTCTGATGTCTCTGGTGTCTCTTATGTCTCTTATGTCTCTTATGTCTCTGATGTCTCTGATGTCTCTGTCTCCAGTGTCTCTGATGTCTCTTATGTCTCTGTATCTGATGTCTCTGTCTCTGGTGTCTCTGATGTCTCTTATGTCTCTGATGTCTCTGTCTCCAGTGTCTCTGATGTCTCTTATGTCTCTGATGTCTCTGTATCTGATGTCTCTGATGTCTCTGTCTCCGGTGTCTCTGATGTCTCTTATGTCTCTGATGTCTCCTTCTCTGATGTCTCTGTCTCTGGTGTCTCTTATGTCTCTGGTGTCTCTGTCTCTGATGTGTCTGTCTCTCATGTCTCTGATGTCTCTGTCTCCGGTGTCTCTGGTGTCTCTGGTGTCTCTTATGTCTCTGGTGTCTCTGTCTCTGATGTCTCTGATGTCTCTGTCTCCAGTGTCTCTGATGTCTCTTATGTCTCTGTATCTGATGTCTCTGTCTCCGGTGTCTCTGATGTCTCTTATGTCTCTGATGTCTCTGGTGTCTCTGTCTCCAGTGTCTCTGATGTCTCTTATGTCTCTGTATCTGATGTCTCTGTCTCCGGTGTCTCCGGTGTCTCCGGTGTCTCCGGTGTCTCTTATGTCTCTGGTGTCTCTGTCTCTGATGTCTCTGTCTCCAGTGTCTCTGATGTCTCTTATGTCTCTGTATCTGATGTCTCTGTCTCCGGTGTCTCCGGTGTCTCTGATGTCTCTTATGTCTCTGTCTCTGATGTCTCTGTCTCCAGTGTCTCTGGTGTCTCTTATGTCTCTGGTGTCTCTGTCTCTGATGTCTCTTATGTCTCTGGTGTCTCTGTCTCTGGTGTCTCTGATGTCTCTGATGTCTCTGTCTCTGGTGTCTCTGTCTCTGGTGTCTCTGATGTCTCTGTCTCTGGTGTCTCTGATGTCTCTTATGTCTCTGGTGTCTCTGTCTCTGATGTCTCTGTCTCTGATGTCTCTGTCTCTGATGTCTCTGTCTCTGATGTCTCTGTCTCTGATGTCTCTGTCTCTGATGTCTCTGTCTCTGGTGTCTCTGATGTCTCTTATGTCTCTGGTGTCTCTGTCTCTGATGTCTTTGTTGTCTCTGATGTCTCTGTCTCTGGTGTCTCTGATGTCTCTGTCTCTGGTGTTTCTGATGCGTCTGATGTCTGTATGGATTGTGTTTTTGGTTCAGGTTGTGGCCGAGCTACGCTTCAGTGTGCATCAGCTTTCAGAGGAGGACACTTCGGTCAAATTTGATCTGCAGGTCGTCAGGTGAGTTTAAAGAAAGAACCAGAAATGTACAATTACAATTATGATCTCACGACAAACAAAGACGGTTCTTTTACTCTGTGTTTTACTCAGACACAGACACATGAATGTGTCAGGACTCAGAGTGGGACCCGGTCTCACTGGGAGCCAACAAATACTATTCATTCAATGCCAGGTTTCAGTTCTTTGGTCTCTTTCTTGTCTCTCTATGGGCTCTCTCTGGTTTCTCTCTGGTTTCTCTCTGGTCTCTCTCTGGTCTCTCTCTGGTCTCTCTCTGGTCTCTCTCTGGTCTCTCTCTGGTCTCTCTCTGGTCTCTCTCTGGTTTCTCTCTGCTCTCTCTCTGCTCTCTCTCTGGTCTCTCTCTGGTCTCTCTCTGGTCTCTGGTGTCTCTCTTTGGTTTCTCTCTCTTTGCTCTCGCTCTAGTCTCTCTCTGGTCTCTCTCTGGTTTCTCTCTGCTCTCTCTCTGGTCTCTCTCTGGTCTCTGGTGTCTCTCTCTGGTTTCTCTCTCTTTGCTCTCGCTCTGGTCTCTCTCTGGTCTCTCTCTGGTCTCTCTCTGGTCTCTCTCTGGTCCCTCTCTGGTCCCTCTCTGGTCTCTCTTTGGTCTCTCTCTTTGGTCTCTTTCTCTGGTCTCTCTCTGGTCTCTCTCTGGACCCTCTCTGGTCTCTCTTTGATCTCTCTCTGGTCTCTCTCTCTGGTCTCTCTCTCTGGTCTCTTTCTCTGGTCTCTCTTTGGTCTCTCTCTCTGGTCCCTCTCTGTTCTCTCTTTGATCTCTCTCTCTGGTCCCTCTCTGGTTTATCTCTGGTTTCTCTCTGGTCTCTCTTTAGTCTCTCTCTCTGGTCTCTCTCTTTGGTCTCTCTCTGGTCTCTCTCTTTGGTCTCTCTCTCTCTGGTCCCTCTCTGGTCTCTCTTTGATCTCTCTCTCTGGTCCCTCTCTGGTTTATCTCTGGTTTCTCTCTGGTCTCTCTGGTCTCTCTCTTTGGTCTCTCTCTCTCTGGTCCCTCTCTGGTCTCTCTTTGATCTCTCTCTCTGGTCCCTCTCTGGTTTATCTCTGGTTTCTCTCTGGTCTCTCTGGTCTCTCTCTTTGGTCTCTCTCTCTCTGGCCTCTCTCTCTGGTCTCTCTCTCTGGTCTCTCTCTTTGGTCTCTCTCTCTGGTCTCTCTCTCTGGTCTCTCTCTTTGGTCTCTCTCTTTGGTCTCTCTCTGGTCTCTCTCTGGTCTCTCTCTGGTCTCTCTCTGGTCTCTCTCTGGTCCCTCTCTGGTCTCTCTCTGGTCTCTCTCTGGTCTCTCTCTGGTCTCTCTCTGGTCTCTCTCTGGTCTCTCTCTGGTCTCTCTCTGGTCTCTCTCTGGTCTCTCTCTGGTCTCTCTCTGATCTCTCTTTCTGGTCTCTCTCTCTCTGGTGGAAATGAACAAGGACAGATAAAGATTGGTCTTACAGTCTTAAACACAGACTAAACCTTCTCTCCCCTCTCACACACTGTGTTTATGTGGCCAGAGGAGAGAGAGGGAGTGGGAGTGGGAGTGGGAGAGTGAAGCAGATTATTATGGGTTTGGGAGACTCTGGTTAAAACATGACGCCTCAGTTTCCAAACCGCACTGAATGTAAGTGTCATCTGCTGACATCTGCGTTTTCCACATTTACAACAACACAAACCAAACTCTGTGATTATCCTGAAGCTGTTTGTCTGCGTCAGATCGATCTTGTGTGAGGCTGTGTCTGTCACATGTGGCAACACTGGGATGGCTGTCTTTTAAAGTCATAACTGTTTGTTTTCTTTTGTCTTGTCTGTATGTATGTTTTGAATTGGACCTAGAGTCTGTAATCAAGTGAATTGAATTGTGGGACTCAGGGTTCTAACCTTACACTCTGAGGGAGATAAGGCTCCTGACCTCAGACTTAGGAGTTAAAGAATTCAGGAGCAAAGAGAGAAGCGTGAAACTTGTATAATAAAATGAAAAAGACATTATTATCTGTCAGTGAAGCAGCAGCAATTGTGACAAATGTAGAGATCTGAACTGAGCTGCAACATCGCCCTCGTGTGGTGGTGGCGGGTACTGCCTGCAGATGGTGTTGGACTCACTTTGTCTCAGCTTGAAAGCCTAGGTTTGATTCCTGAGCTTCTTTTTCCCATGTTTGCATGTTCTACCTGTGTCATTGTCTTAAGTGGCTTCACATTTCCAAAAATTGAGCAAATGCATGGGCGTACCACATATAGATGTTAACCCTGGTCAACCCAGACATGAAAATATGTGTTGAATTATCTGTGCTATTTTTGGAAAGTAGCATCAATGAGCACATTTAGCGATTTAGCATACGTAGTATATTAGCTTCTGTGTGTTCTTCGTTCAAACATGAGCTAATGCATCCAAAAGTCAGACTTCTTTAGACACAATCTCTGAACTTTATGTTGCATATTTGTAACGATGCTACGGGGTTAGCTACAGTGAAGATATTGGTTTTGGGTCAGGACCAGCAGATGGGTATGTTAAAGATGACAGTGGTGAATAATAACTATAAAATATTTATATGTATCAAAGTATACAATATTTACAAAGCGCTTGGTTCATGTTCACCACTTCTCAATAGTAGAAGTAGTTTCTCTGATGATAAAGCTGCGCATTGTTCTTGGCAAAAAGCTTCCAGTTCCTGTAAATTCTTGGGCTAACTTTCATGAACTGCACATTAGAGATAACCCAGAGCAGCTCTATGAGGTTTTAAAACATGTTTAATTATCTATGACTTCACACATTATCACTAACGATGTGTGGAAATGTGTGTCTCTCAAGCGCGGCTGTCTCAGAATGCACTGGTCTGTCATTTTCACTTTTATTCAACAAAAGACAAACATATAATCATTTAACACAATGCAATAGCAGACTTCTGACACTGGTCCGTCTCGGTTCAGTGCAGATGGCAGAAGAGTCTGTGATCATGTTTAGAAATTGTATCATGTTTCTTTTTCTTGCTTTTTATTTTACATGTAAATTTCTCCTCTGTGAGATAAATAAAGCACATCTTATCTTATCTTAAGTTCAAACCAGTTCAGCAACACCAGCCCACGCGTCTCCAGCACCACTAAGCTTGCCGTGCTCGCCAAGGTGGCCATCAGAGGGTAAGTGTGAGAAGGGTCTAAAACAGTCTCCCTAAAGCTGAAACTTTTACAGATGAGACCAGAAAAAAAAAAGTTAAATGCAATAAAATGGTGCTATTGTCCCGCAGGTCTTCGAACCCAGGTCAGGTGCTGCTGCCCATCGCCAACTGGAAACCACGGGAGCCTCCTGCTGAGGAGGACGATATCGGGCCTCAGATTCTCCTGGTTTATGAGGTTTGTCATCTATCTTTAATTTCTATTATAAACTTGATGTACAAATGTGTAGTACATTTGGTCCTGTCCTTGAGAAATACTGGATCTTGCTGTGGGTGAAATACCAAGGTCTATAGCCTATATCTTGCAGTGGGTGGAATACCAAGGTCCATAGCCTATATCTTGTAGTGGGTGAAATACCAAGGTCCATAGCCTATATCTTGCAGTGGGTGAAATACCATGGTCCATAGCCTATATCTTGTAGTGGGTGAAATACCATGGTCCATAGCCTATATCTTGTAGTGGGTGAAATACCAAGGTCCATAGCCTATATCTTGCAGTGGGTGAAATACCATGGTCCATAGCCTATATCTTGCAGTGGGTGAAATACCATGGTCCATAGCCTATATCTTGTAGTGGGTGAAATACCAAGGTCCACAGCCTAAATCTTGCAGTGGGTGAAATACCATGGTACTTAGCCTATATCTTGCAGTGGGTGAAATACCCAGGTCTATAGCCTAAATCTTGCAGTGGGTGAAATACCCAGGTCTATAGCCTATATCTTGCAGTGGGTGAAATACCCAGGTCTATAGCCTAAATCTTGCAGTGGGTGAAATACCAAGGTCCATAGCCTGTATATTGCAGTGGGTTCAGATCTTGGTCGGAACAGGGCCTTTCTGAGTGGAGTTTACATGTGCTCCCCATGCCTGCATAGGTTTCCTCCAGGTGCTCCAGTTTCCTCTACCACTAAAAACATTTACAATAGGGTGAAATACCATCTAATGTAAATGAGAGAGTGAATGGATGGTGTTGATTGGGGGCTTTGATGCGCCAGTGTGTTCCGCGTCTCGTATCCGTCATCACCATGTGTGGAGAGAATGGAACAATACTCTGAACATTGTAAAGTGCTTTGGGTGACCTTGTTCTGTAAAATGCGCCATATAAATAAAGTGGGTGAAATACCGTGTCTATAGCCGGACTGACGTTTCCTGTGTCTGTGTTTAGCTTCTGAACAATGGCCCCAGCACCTTCTCCAAAGCGTCTCTGGATGTGGAGGTTCCCTTTCACTTCAGGAACGGCTCAGTGCTGTATGTGACCAGCTTTGACACCGAGGGGCCCATCAACTGCACCACAGACACCGAGATCAACCCCCTCAACGTGTCGGTGAGGAACCTGCAGCTCCCATCATAGCACTACAGTTACAGCTGTGACCACTGACCCTCACCTTGACCCCTCACCCTGACCCTCACCCTGGCCCTCACCCTGGCCCTCACCCTGATCCTCACCCTGATCCTCACCTTGACCTCTCACCCCGATCCCTCATTAACAGATCCCCATTATCCAGATTTATTTTGCCAACATCTGCATTCACTGAAAAAATTATCAAATGTGAGGAAATAATTGCTTGAATCGAGTGTTTTTTATCTTAATCTGAGCACATTCTGACTTTAAACAGATTCTCCACAGTGACAAAAACTCTTAGTCTTGTTTGCAAAACTGTTGCTTTATTTTCTCATTCCAAGGGAGACATTTCTTGTGTGTTTTATCATTTTGCTTTGTCTCATCAGCTAATCTAGTTTTAAGGCAGTCAGAATGTGCTCATATTAGGGATGTAAATCGGTGACCGTTTAACCGGTGGTTGACCGTCACAGCGTTAACCGGTCAAAGCTGTTGGTTAAAAAAAAGAAAAGGGGAGAGGGGAGGTCTCTTAATAACGCTATTTTAAGCCCTATTTGCACCCATATTAGTAAACTCCTGGCCAAGTCATGCAGCACGCGCCGCACATGCACGCACACACACACACACACACACACACATTCACATTCCCCCCCTCCATTGATACGTAACATCCACACGCATCATCTCTCCTCTCTCTGACTAGTCCGCCAAAGTTGCACACTGGTGCGGGTCAGAACTACATTGGAGCTTATATTTATACACACGTACATGTATTGTACACACACACACATACATATACACACACATACATTCATGTACACACATACATACATGTACACACACACACACCGGTCTGTCGCGCTCCTCTGTGTCACGGAGCCCAAAGGATCCTCGCAAATACACGGCTCCAGTCAAACCACTAATGTTTGTGTTTATGGTCCTTGGCATCAGCTCCACACACATCAAACAACATCAATTAAACCTGCGAGACGCGGCTCGTCACTCGCTGCTCTGACCATGTGGACGAGCTGTCTTTTGCTTAAAAATGCTTTAACCCGCAGCACAGAAGAATGGGAAGATTAAAAAGGCAGTTTTCTGTGCGCAAAGGTGCCGAAGCGGTTGCGGGTTTTGGCGGCGCTGTCTCAGCTCTGATCTATTAGAACGCAGAGCTGCACTTATGAAAAGTACGCAGCTCGAAATGGCTATTATTTCAAAGAACGTGGAATATTTTTAACTACGCGGTTAACCGGTTTCAACCGGTTAATGAGGCTCGGTGGTCGGTCATGAAAATTCATAGTTTTTTACATCCCTAGCTCAAATGAAGACAAATTTAGCCAAATTTAAGACATGTTTGGCTTGTTTGTCTGGCTCGGTACAAACTCCTACATTATTTGTGCAAAGAAAGTGTCCAGATGATAAACAATACACTGATAATGTGATGTCACATCTCTTTGTGTAGAAATCACTGACGCCTGAGAAGAATGTGACGAGTGGAATTCCTCCCAGAGAAAGAGAAACAGAAGGACGGAACCGCAACCACGTGATCCGCAGGAGAGAGGTGGAGCCCAGGGACGCACAGGGAGACCTGCAAACACTGGTACCAAGTTCTCTTTAATACTGTTCAAATGAGTTTTAGTGATTCCTTAGAGACACGAGCTCGGAGTAGAGCTGCTGCTCTTGGAAAGGAGCCAGTGGAGGTGGCTCATCTGTTTAGGACGCCTCCTGGTCTCTTCCTCGGGGAGGTGCTCTGGGCATGTCCCACCAGGAGGAGAACAGGAGAAGACTCGGGACCTGTGACCCGGTAATGGATAAAGTGGAAGAAAATGGATGGAGGATGTTCTACAGTTTGTAGAACTACAGAGATATATGTATCATAGTGTTTTCCCCAGATACCGTTATAATAACTGTACAAACAACACTTTGACAAAGGCCCTGAAGGGCACGGCAAAACGAGTAACTGGTCATGTGCGTGTGACATCACTCCCCAACCTATATACTGTACTATATGTATATATATATACTGTATATACCAACCTATATACTGTTCTATATGTAAATATATATACTGTATATACCAACCTATATACTGTTCTATATGTAAATATTAGTGCTGTCCAACGATTAAAATATTTAATCGCGATTAATCGCATGAATTTCATAGTTAACTCGCGATTAATCGCAAATTAGTCACCCATTTGCGTGCTGTGTGCAATTGCTTTTTTTATTGAAAACAATGTGTAGTGTTATATTACACACTAACATTTGATGCAAAATCATCAATAAATGGATGACAAAATAAATAATTGGTAACAAAAAGCCCCTTCAATGTGTGTGTGGAGTGTGTGTGTTTATGGGTGTGGGTGTGTGTGTGTATGTGTGGGTATAGACCATAGACTGTATAGAAACATCATGGTGTCATTATGATGATGATAAACAATTTTTTTGTAAATTTGTTCATGTAAATACTCTATGCTGTTTCTCTGTTTACTTTCGGTATATCTATGACTGTATACTGTTTGCTTGTATTGCCTTTTTTATTAACCCCTCCCCCCCATCTCCCACTTCATGTCCCCCCCCCCCCCTCCCCTCCTATGTGCCCTTCTGGGTTTCTTCTTTGGCCCCCTGTATCTCCAACTACATATTGTTTTGTAATCTCTGTCTACAATGTATCTTAACTAGTCCTTTTCTTTGTGTCTATTTTTTTCTGTATATGTGTTTGTCTGCAATAAAAAGTAAAAAAAAAAAAAAAAAAAATTTTTTTTTTTTTTTTTAATAATTATAAAAAAAATTAATGGCGATAAAAAAAATGACGCCGTTAATATTGATTTGCGTTAACGCGTTAATAACGCGATATTTTGGACAGCACTAGTAAATATATATACTTTATATACCAACCTATATACTGTTCTATATGTAAATATCTATACTGTATATACCAACCTATACACTGTACTGTAGACTCCCCAGTCATTGCCTTTCATGTGTGTGAACTGTACTGTATACATACATATACTGTACATATAGTTGTAGTTGTAATGTACGTGTGTGTTCCTCAGGACTGCAGTGCGACCGACTGCCTCCTGCTGCGGTGTCAGGTCGGGCGTCTGGAGAGAGGGAAGAACGCCATCGTGTTCATTTATTCAAGACTCGACGTCAACAACTTCCTCAGGGTAAAGACCTGTCAGTCTGTCCAGTCCAAGCATTTATTATCATTACATATCATTATTGATCATTATTGATCATTATTAATCATTATGTATCATTATTGATCATTATTATTCAAAGTATTGATCCTGTGCTGATTCTCAGGTTGAAAACCAGAACCGCTCGTACGTGATCCAGTCCAGAGCCTCGTTCAGTGTCATTGAGATCCCGTACAAGAAACTGGACTTTGACCTTCCTTCAAACAGCACCTCTGTGAGTCTTCTTTGATATCTTTATTATACTTGAAAAAAGTGAGTCGTTATCTGCCTCTTTGGGCTGAGAGCTGATTGGCTGAGGGAGGGTGGTCCTCTCTGATCTAAAGATGTGACGTTATTCTAAATATAAATATATATTGTGTATATACACTCACCGACCACTTTATTAGGTACACCTTGCTAGTACCGGGTTGGACCCTCTTTTCCTTCAAAACTGTCTTAATCCTTTGTGGCACAGATTCAACAAGGCTCTGGACACATTCCTCAGAGAGTTTGGTCCATATTTGATGACACATGCAGTTTCTACAGATTTGTCGGCTGCACGTCCATGATGCTCCTGTTCCACCACATCCCAAAGTGTCTCTATTGGATTGAGATCTGACTGTGGAGGCCATCACAGTACAGTGAACTTATTGTCATGTTCAAGAAACCAGTCTGTGATGATTAATGACAAGGTGTTTTATCTGCTGGAAGTAGCATCAGAAGATGGTACACTGTGGTCATAAAGGGATGGACATGTTCAGCAACAATACTCAGGTGGCTGTGGCAACGATGCTCAAATGGTACTAAGGGCTCAAAGAGTGCCAAGAAAATATCCCCCACACCATGACACCCCCAACACCACCTGAACCGTTGATACAAGGCAGGATGGATCCATGCTTTCATGTTGTTGACTCCAAACTCTGACCCTACCATCCGAATGTCGCAGTAGAGATCAAGACTCATCAGACCAGGCAACTTTTTACAATGTTCTGTTGTCCAGTTTCGGTGAGCCTGTGTGAATTTTAGCTTCAGGTTCCTGTTTTTAGCTGAGAGGAGTGTTCCGTGTCTTGAGTACCTTGGTTGTAACAAGTGGTTATTTGAGTTACTGTTGCCTTTCTATCAGCTCAAACCAGTCTGGCCATTCACCTCTGACCTCTGGCATCAGCGAGGCATTTTCACCCCCCAAATTGCCGGTCACTGGATACTTTCTTTTTCTCGAACCATTCTCTGTACATCCTAGAGATGGTTGTGTGTGAAAATCTCAGTAGATCAGAAGTGACCAGCCCGTCTGGCACCAACAACCATGCCACGTTCAAAGTCACTTAAATCACCTTTCTTCCTCATTCTGATGGTTTCAACTGCAACAGATTGTCTTGACCATGTCTACAGCCTAAATGCATTAAGTTGCTGCCATGTGATTGGCTGACCAGGACTTTGCATTATAGTGGCGTTGGATAGTGTACCTAATAAAGTGGCCGGTGAGTGCATACCTGTGTGTAGTGTATATAAATCTGTGTGTGTCTCTCTCAGGTCAGCGTTTTGGTTCTGTGTGTGTAGGGTGTGTGTAAATGTGTGTGTTGTGTATCTGCAGGTGAGTGTGTCGGTCCTGTGGGTGGCAGACTCCTCTCAGCCTGTGCCTGGCTGGGTGGTGGCTCTGGCGGTGCTCGCTGGGCTCCTGCTGCTGGCTCTGCTCATCTTCATCATGTACAAGGTCAGAGCAGGTCTTCACTCTGCACTTTGCTCTGCACTTTACTCTGCACTTTACTCTGCACTTTACTCTGCACTTCACTCTGCACTTTACTCTGCACTTCACTCTGCACTTTACTCTGCACTTTACTCTGCACTTTACTCTGCACTTTACTCTGCACTTCACTCTGCACTTCACTCTGCACTTCACTCTGCACTTTACTCTGCACTTTACTCTGCACTTCACTCTGCACTTTACTCTGCACTTTACTCTGCACTTCACTCTGCACTTTACTCTGCACTTCACTCTGCACTTTACTCTGCACTTTACTCTGCACTTTACTCTGCACTTCACTCTGCACTTTACTCTGCACTTTACTCTGCACCTCACTCTGCACTTTACTCTGCACTTTACTCTGCACTTCACTCTGCACTTTACTCTGCACTTTACTCTGCACTTTACTCTGCACTTTACTCTGCACTTCACTCTGCACTTCACTCTGCACTTCACTCTGCACTTTACTCTGCACTTCACTCTGCACTTTACTCTGCACTTCACTGCACTTTACTCTGCACTTTACTCTGCACTTCACTCTGCACTTTACTCTGCACTTCACTCTGCACTTTACTCTGCACTTTACTCTGCACCTCACTCTGCACTTTACTCTGCACTTCACTCTGCACTTTACTCTGCACTTCACTCTGCACTTTACTCTGCACTTTACTCTGCACCCACTCTGCACTTTACTCTGCACTTTACTCTGCACTTCACTCTGCACTTTACTCTGCACCTCACTCTGCACCTCACTCTGCACTTTACTCTGCACTTCACTCTGCACTTTACTCTGCACTTTACTCTGCACCTCACTCTGCACTTTACTCTGCACTTTACTCTGCACTTCACTCTGCACTTTACTCTGCACTTTACTCTGCACTTTACTCTGCACTTTACTCTGCACTTTACTCTGCACTTTACTCTGCACTTTACTCTGCACTTTACTCTGCACTTCGCTCTGCACTTCACTCTGCACTTCACTCTGCACTTTACTCTGCACTTCACTCTGCACTTTACTCTGCACTTCACTCTGCACTTTACTCTGCACTTTACTCTGCACTTCACTCTGCACTTTACTCTGCACTTCACTCTGCACTTTACTCTGCACTTTACTCTGCACCTCACTCTGCACTTTACTCTGCACTTCACTCTGCACTTTACTCTGCACTTCACTCTGCACTTTACTCTGCACTTTACTCTGCACCTCACTCTGCACTTTACTCTGCACTTCACTCTGCACTTTACTCTGCACTTCACTCTGCACTTTACTCTGCACTTCACTCTGCACTTTACTCTGCACTTCACTCTGCACTTTACTCTGCACTTTACTCTGCACTTCACTCTGCACTTTACTCTGCACTTCACTCTGCACTTTACTCTGCACTTTACTCTGCACCTCACTCTGCACTTTACTCTGCACTTCACTCTGCACTTTACTCTGCACTTCACTCTGCACTTTACTCTGCACTTTACTCTGCACCTCACTCTGCACTTTACTCTGCACTTCACTCTGCACTTTACTCTGCACTTTACTCTGCACTTTACTCTGCACTTTACTCTGCACTTTACTCTGCACTTTACTCTGCACTTTACTCTGCACTTTACTCTGCACAGTCCTGGTCTCTCTGATCATCGCAGACGTTATTTCTCCATGCGTCTCTTCTCTTCACATGGTGTTTGTAAAAATATATATTATTATAGATCCATGGTAAACTCAGTAGAGCCTCTGTTCAGTAGGGGTGGGAACCTCTGGGTACCTCACGATACGATACGATACGATGTGCGATACAAAGCTCACAATAACAATCATCTCACGATATGACGATGCAATGATTATCGATAAATTGGTCAAAAATATACCTACAATAATATTTTTCTTATATTTATGGCATAAAGTATGTGAAAAAATATGCTTTATTTCAAGATAAATGGATAAAGTGTCATGCCTTTTAACCTGCACATTTTAGTAAAAATCTTAATTGTCTTTCATCCAATAAAATCAATATGAACATTCTACAGAAATTGTAGAATGCATAATGTAGCCATACATTAAGTAACGATACTTTTTTTCAAATAAAGCTTAAAAAATGTTTTTGATTTTTTTTAATCAATACTCTGCAAAAGCATATCGATAATCGATCGCGTGAGAAAGTATCACGATACATCACTTGATATATTGTCACACTCCTACTGTTCAGCAGGTGCATATCAGAATGGTCTTGTTTACATGTCAAGTGCCCGAGACATTTGGAGAGATCCAGTCATTTATCAAACTAAACTTTTCTTTCCTTGGCAGTCTGTGAATGACTGAGAGTTGAGGAGCACTGTCAAAGACGACATATTGTCTATCGAAGGCTTCCGTAGTACCTTTGACTGCAATATATGATCTCAACACTAGACAGGAGTAAAAACTACACAGTGTACCTTTGACAGTCCTGATGATGGATCTTTGTCACGTTCAATGATAACAACACATTAACAACACAATACAATACAATTTATTCTTGTATAGCCCTAAATCACAACAGTAGTCCTCTCAGAGGACTAAACAAAACCATTGAAATCGCCAACACAGATCAGAGAATCAACAGTTAAGACAGTGTCCTGGATCATCACCACAGTCCTTCTAGTTGGACACTGACTGTCCGACAGACCCTCCTGCATCGGCAAGGAAAAACTCATAAGAACAACATGTAGTGAAATATCTTTTTGACTTGTTGCTTTTTCCCTATCAATAATATTCAGATGTCAATATAATAACAGTCTGTGAGCTCTAACTGGATCTGAGACTGAGACAAACTACACTTTTATTTGAACCTTCTCCGTTGACGACAGCAGCAGGAAACCGGCCAAAGTTAGCAACACGCTATCTGCTAATCACTCGTGTCTTGTTCTTGTCTTTTCCATAGTTGGGTTTCTTCAAGCGAGTGCGCCCCCCGCAGGACGACTGTGCAGAGAAGGAGCAGCTGCAACCGGAGGAGAACGGAAACATGGACGGATAACATTACACCAACGAGTCTGGGCCTGGTCTGGGCCTAGTCTGGGCCGAGTCTGGGCCGAGTCTGGGCCGAGTCTGGGCCTAGTCTGGGCCTAGTCTGGGCCTAGTCTGGGCCTAGTCTGGGCCGAGTCTGGGCCGAGTCTGGGCCGAGTATGGGCCGAGTCTGGGCCGAGTCTGGGCCGAGTCTGGGCCGCGTCTGGGCCGCGTCTGGGCCGAGTCTGGGCCGAGTCTGGGCCGAGTCCGGGCCGAGTCCGGGCCGAGTCTGGGCCGAGTCTGGGCCGAGTCTGGGCCGAGTCTGGGCCGAGTCTGGGCCGAGTCTGGGCCGAGTCTGGGCCGAGTCTGGACTCTGGTCGCTCTTTCATGGATTCACCTTCAAACGTTTCCTGTGTGGACTCTCTTATTATTGAACCAATCAAAGCACTGCCTCAGCTGTAAACAAGATCCTGATGATTCACTGTCATCAAACATCTTCTTAGTTTTGTCTAATGTTACACTCCGTCTTATAAACGTCTGATTCTCAGAACTGAACAGTGATTGGTTCAGTGCACTGACCTATGACATCATTGAAATCTGATCATTAACCAACATCATGAGAATCCAGAACATCATTGACACATTTGTAAAATTCATTTTCAGATTTTGAAAAGATTGATTTGTGAATGTTTTCCCTGGAATTCACAACAATATGGCATTAAACTAGCGACAGTGCTAATTATTGTGCTTCTTCTCTCCTGATTGGCTCTCTGGTTGCTATGAGGTCGTCATGAGAGAATTTGGCTCCAGATTGCCGCCCATTGAGTCAGTTTAAGCCAAAGGCCAGAGTGGAGTCTGCTCACTGTAAGAGTTCAGAAGGTTTTTAAGCAGTAAAAATAATGAAGTATTGTCCGAGTTTAATCCCATATTGACATTTAATCAAAGCAAAGTTTTATTTCTGTGAACAAGTTGCAAAGAGCAGCTTTAAGTCTAAGTGATAAAGTCATGAAAAAACAGTTCCATTTCTAAATAAGACCTTTTCAGCGAAAGAGAAGAGTGTAACGAGTCATTTTGCCAATTCATATTTATTGTAAATACGAGAAATACGATGATTTTTGCACAATCCTCCAACTTTAAATTGTTGCTCTGAACGTCCTGAACTGCTGTTGTTGATGATCGTGTGATGCAGAGTAGAGCGAGCTTATTATTATATTCTTACATTTGCCAACTTCTCTGGTGCCAATTCAAATGTAATAAAGTATTTTATGGAGCTATAGCAGTATACAGAAAGTCTTTAAGATCAAGAATTAGCAGCGCAACAAAATATAACAACTGTTTTTATAATAGTTTTACGGATAATTGAACACTCCTTGTGCCAACGAGTGAGAGAGAGAAACATTTCACACTTTTATTATGAATGGATAATTGCTGACGATGATTTACTGTATGTGAGATTAGGAGGACGGTACTTGCTGGACTATAAAGCACCTGTACATAAACGGCACCAGCTGAATCTGAAAGAAAGCACATGGTGTCCACGTACAGGCCGCGCTGGAATATAAGCCACAGGTTTTCATGCTGGAATAAAACAACAGGCAAAACAAAGTCTATAGACGTATATTTATGTATACAGCAGGGTTCAAAGACATGGGGAGAAGTAGCAGCTTATGGTCCAGCAATTACGGGTGTTTTATTTTTGCTGTTTTGCTTTGTTTTCATGTGTTAATGTCACTTCTATTTTTTATGATTTGTCAATTTTTATTTTTTATTTTGGGTGAATCTTCTTTGCTTTTTCTTTGTTCGGGTCCAATGCATTTCCACACAGGGTTTAGTTCATGTGAGCCAGGGAACACGCAGATACAGAACATGTGACAACAGTAGTTTTGCCCATATTGGGTCCACTCTCTCTGTCGTCATCCGAAATCTGAGACCATTGGAAAAGGAATAACCTTTTCATCAGAACTGTTTTCTTTGTTTTGCCCAGGGGCGTCCAGACTTTTTAACAGGTTCACTGTAGTTCAGTAAAATTGTCGAGAAGCGACAACACGTATTGACATTAGAAAAGGAAGTACTTTTTTCACACATAGTAAAGGCTGTAAGGTTCCAGGTTTACAAAAGGTTGTAACTGGACATAATATGGTTTCATGAGGTGTTTTTCCTGTTGACTCGTGACGATAGAAGCAGAGCATGATCAATAATGTGCTTTCATCTCTCTGGGACATAACCCAACAGAATAAAATATGTACATGAGCCGCAGCACTAAGAGATTGCAAAAAAAGAGCAGAATATAGTCCAGTGTTTACTGTGTTAGAGTTATTAGAGAATCTGCATTTATACAATAACGTGAAATAAAAATAACAGCTCAAACTTCACTGCACAAATGTGAGAAAGGTCTGCTCCACAGCGCCCCACTGTGGCGCCTGCTGTTACTGCGGTCTCCCATCACTCACTGACCAGGCCTCCAAGCTGAGAAACAGTCTTTATACATCTGTGTCGTTGAGCAAGACACTTCGCCCAATGTGCCTCGTGTTCTCCGATGTTCTGATCCAACCATGAATCTGGACATGTTTGTTTAACAAATGTTTTCTACTAAATTAACTATACTTTTGTTTTGGGGCAGAAATAAACTTTTTCACACTTAAGTGTTTGGTCTTTTTTCTATTGTAAAGTTTGTACAATGTACAGTATTTTATACTTGCTTGTTTAATATGCTAAAGCTTGAGCTGTTATTTTATGTTATACCATGGTCTGTGAGAATTCCAATGCTAACTGCTGTGCATGTTTTGTATACGCACACGATGTCCTGTAAGTTTAACAACATGCTCTATATCACTCTGCCACAGGTGTTGCCATAGTAACTGTAATGGCTGGATCAAATGAACTATAAATTAAAGTTAGGTGACAAGCCGTAGCGACTAATAGCGCTGGATAACATGGATTTCGAGATGAATTTTAACATTTCTGGACATAACAAAACCTTTGAGGAATGGGAAGAAGAGAACGATAAAAGCAATGGTATGAATATTAATGTTTTGTCTGTGTGGTAATAAAAGTAGTTCCCATTTCTCTTTTCAACGGTTGCTAAGGCAAAAGTTTTGTTTTCAGACTTGTTAAATAATCCCTATACTTTAGCATCCATCCATCCATCCATTTTCTTCCGCTTCATCCATTGCCGGGTCGCAGGGGCAGCAGTCGAAGCAGAGACGCCCAGACTTCCCTATCCACACACACTTCCTCCAGCTCGTCTGGGGGGACCCCAAGGCGTTCCCAGGCCAGCTGAGAGACATAGTCCCTCCAGCGTGTCCTGGGTCTTCCCCGGGGCCTCCTCCCGGTGGGACGTGCCCAGAACACCTCCCCAGGGAGGCGTCCAGGAGGCATCCGGAACAGATGCCCGAGCCACCTCCACTGGTTCCTCTCGACGTGGAGTAGCAGCGGCTCTACTCCGAGCTCCTTCCGTGTGACTGAGCTCCTCACCCTATCTCTAAGGGAGCGCCCAGCCACTCTGCGGAGGAAGCTCATTTCGACCGCTTGTATCCGCGATCTCGTTCTTTCGGTCATTACCCAAAGCTCATGACCATAGGTGAGGGAGGGAACGAAGATTGACCGGTAAATTGAGAGTTTTGCCTTTCGGCTCAACTCCCTCTTTACCACGACGGTCCGATACAGCGACCGCATCACTGCGCACGCTGCACCGATCCCCCTGTCAATCTCGCGCTCTATCCTTCCCTCACTCGTGAACAAGACCCCGAGATACTTGAACTCCTCCACTTGAGGAAGGACCTCTCCACCCACCCGGAGAGGGCAAGGCACCCTTTTCCGGTCGAGCACCATGGCCTCAGATTTAGAGGTGCTGATTCTCATCCCAGCGGCTTCACACTCGGCTGCAAACCGTCCCAGTGCATGTTGCAGGTCCTGGTTCGTTGGAGCCAACAGGACAACATCGTCCGCAAACAGTAGAGATGAAATCCTGTGGTCGCCAAACCGGACCCCCTCCGGCCCCTGGCTGCGCCTAGAAATTCTGTCCATGAATACAGTGAACAGAACCGGTGACAAAGGGCAGCCCTGGCGGAGGCCAACATGCACCGGGAACAGGTCTGACTCACTGCCGGCAATGCGAACACAGCTCTGACTCCGGTCATACAGGGATCGAACGGCCCTCAATAGAGGACCCCCCAAATGACACCCCGGGGAACACGGTCGAACGCCTTCTCCAAATCCACGAAGCACATGTGGACAGGTTGGGCGAACTCCCATGAACCCTCGAGTATCCGATGGAGAGTATAGAGCTGGTCCAGTGTTCCACGGCCGGGATGAAAACCACACTGCTCCTCCTGAATCCAATTCGACCAACGGCCGTAGCCTCCTCTCCAGTACCTTGGAGTAGACCTTACCGGGGAGGCTGAGGAGTGTGATCCCACGATAATTGGAACACCCTTCTTGTAGAGAGGGACCACCACCCTGGTCTGCCACTCCATTGGCACCGCCCCCGATCGCCACGTGATGTTGCAGAGACGTGTCAGCCAAGACAGTCCCACAACATCCAGAGACTTTAAATAGTAAGGACGAATCTCATCCACTCCCGGCGCCTTGCCACCATGGAGGCTGCCAACCACCTTGGTGACCTCTGCCAGGGAAATGAAAGTATCCACCCCAACATCCTCAGCCTCTTCCCCCGGGGCGGAGGACGTGACTGGGGGATTGAGGATAACCTCAAAGTATTCCTTCCACCGTCCGACAATATCCCCAGTCGAGGTCAGCAGCCCTCCACCCGCACCATACACGGTGTTGGCAAAGAACTGCTTCCCCCTGCTAAGGCGCCGGACGGTTTGCCAGAATCTATAGGCCGACCGATAGTCATGCTCCATGGACTCTCCGAACTCCTCCCAGTCCCGGGTTTTTGCCTCTGCAACAGCCCGGGCCGCGGCACGCTTGGCCAGCCGATACTGGACAGCTGCCTCAGGAGTCCCCCGAACCATCATGGCTCGATAGAACTCCTTCTTCAGCCTGACGGCATCCCTTACTGCCGGTGTCCACCACCGGGACCAGCACCAGAGACCTTACGACCACAGCTACGAGCCGCCGCATCGGCGATAGAGGAAGAGAACATGGTCCACTCAGACTCGATATCCCCCTCCTCCGCCGGGACCTGGGAGAAGCTCTCCCGGAGGTGTGAGTTGAAAGTCCGTCTGACAGGGGGCTCAGCGAGACGTTCCCAGCAGACCCTCACTACACGCTTGGGTCTGCCAGGTCTGACCGGCTTCCTCCCCTGCCAGCGGATCCAACTCACGACCAGGTGGTGATCGGTTGACATCTCCGCCCCTCTCTTCACCCGAGTGTCCGAGACACGCGGCCGAAGGTCAGATGATACGACAACAAAGTCGATCATCGACCTCCGGCCTAGGGTGTCCTGGTGCCACGTGCACTGGTGGACACCCTTGTGCTCGAACATGGTGTTCGTGATGGACAAACTGTGACTAGCACAGAAGTCCAACAACTGAACACCGCTCGGGTTCAGATCAGGGGGGCCGTTCTTCCCGATCACCCCTCTCCAAGTGTCACTGGCATTTCCCACATGGGCGTTGAAGTCCCCCAGGAGAATAATGGAGTCCCCAGTCGGTGCACCGTCCAGTACCCCTCCCAAGGACTCCAAGAAGGCCGGGTACTGTGCACTGCCGTTGGGCCCGTAGGCCGTCACAACAGTGAGAGACTTGTCCCCCACCCGAAGGCGGAGGGACGCGACCCTCTCATTCACCGGGGAGAACTCCAACACGTGGCGGCTGAGATGGGGGGCAATGAGTATGGCCACCCCCGCTCGCCGCCTCTCCCCGCGGGAAACACCAGAAAAGTGGAGAGTCCAACCCCTCTCAAGGAGTTGGGTTCCAGAGCCCAAACTGTGTGTGGAGGTGAGGCCGACTATCTCTAGTCGGTATCTCTCAACCTCCCCCACAAGCTCGGGCTCCTTCCCCCCCAGTGAGGTGACGTTCCACGTCCCAAGAGCCAGATGTTGCGCGTGCGGACTGGGTCGCCGAGGTCTCCGCCTCCGACCGCTGCCCAGTCCTCTCTGCACCGCTTCGCCACCACGGACCCCTCTGCGGGTGGTGGGCCCACAGGAGGGACTGCCCACGTCGTCCATTCGGGCTGAGCCCGGCCGGGCCCCGTGGGCTAAGGCCCGGCCACCAGGCGCTCGCATACGAGCCCCGACCCCAGGCCTGGCTCCAGGGTGGGGCCCCGGCTGCGCCATGCCGGGCGACATCACTGTTCTCATATTTGTGCTGTCCATGGTGTCTTCGGACTTTAGCATATTTCACCAATTCAGTAAAGTCAATAAACATTTGTCACACACTTCATTTTTTCAGTGCACATATTTTGTCAACACAAACGAGTCCCGACATGGAAGCTTTTAAGGTAAAGATCAGTGTGAGGTTTTGTTCCTCAGAGATCATTTTTATTTACCTTTAGCTTTTGTCATCCAAATAGATCTTTGTGAAACATGTTTATAATGTACGGCTGGGAACTGGCAGAAATGTGCAGATTCGAAAGTTTTGTGATATCTGGACCACAATTCAGTATTATTGCGATTCTTAACATAGTGTGGAAATTAGCCGAGTCATTTCCATCTGAGGTTTAACTAAGAGAGATAACACATAAGTTAAACAGATGATTATTAAATGACATTTTGCAATACTTTGTTAACTTTTTAGAATGATAATTTATTTGTTTTGTTTGTGTGGATGGATGTGTTTTTGCTGCTGCACCTGAATTTCTCCAACGGGGATCAATAAACTATCTATCTGCTTCTGTATCCATTTAATTATGTGTGCAAAATATCTCAATCCTAATCAGAATTATTTTTCTCCCACCTCTATTATAAAGTAGTCTGTGGTGAGAAATGTTATTGTTGTTACTTGCCAAACTGTTAAACCAGGTCTAAAACTGTCTTAGGTCTGTACCCGGACTACACAGACCTACACCCTCTTCACCACTCTGTCACATCCTCCAAAACATTTCAAATTACCACCCGCTTTTGCCTTTTCTTTTGCTTGATCTTAAAGCGTCTGAAGACGAGCGCTCGGATCTGCGGCAGCTTCAGTCCGTAGATGATGGGGTTGTTCAGGGAGGGTATGAGCAGGTACTCCAGCGACAGCACGGCCACCACGTACGGATCCACACTGTCCGAGTCGAAGCGAGTGATGGAGAGCTCACAGAACAGACACAGAGAGTACGTCACAAAAGTCACCAGGTGTGGGAGACAGGTCTGCCAAGCTTTCCTGCGGGTTTCCACCGACCCGGTTCTACACACCACCAGAATACGGATGTAAGAGTACAGCACGAACAGCAAAGGGACAAATATCGTGGTCAAAGTCGTGTACTGACTCATGATGTTGTTCAATAACGTTCCCACGCATGAGATTTTAACAACCGGCCAGTTTGAGCAGAAAATCCTATGTAGTTTATAACCGCACAGAGGTAAGCGTACGGACAGATAGAGGCATATTCCGCAAAACACGGCCGGATAGATGACTCCCACCGCCCACAGACAGATTGCTTTTGCGATGGTCATTTTGTGGCTGTAGTGCAGAGGTTGGCAGATCGCTACAAACCTGTCGTACGCCATGATGCCCAGGATGGTGATTTCACACGAGGCGTATGTGTAGATCACGTACATCTGAATGAAGCAAGACGGACGGGAGATAAAGTGCGTGTCGGACAAGAGGTCAACGAGAAATCTGGGGAAGAAGCCAGCCGAGCCGTACAGGGAGTTCACAGAAAGACAGCAGATGAAGACGTACATGGGCTGGTGCAGGGACTTCTCTGACAGAATGGTGATGATGATGACCATGTTTGCAGAGATGATGGTCATGTAGATCAACAAGCACAGAGAGAAGAAGAGGTATCGTAAGTGTCCATAGTCGCTGAATAGAGTCAGCTCAAAATATGCAGGGTTTGTTCTGCTGCCGTTCATACTGGTGATGTGTGTGTGCTGCCAACCCCCACACATACACACACACACAGAGATACACAAACACACACAAGGCTGTATCGCACCAGCCAGAGACAGAGAGTGAGGCCATGGTTTATATCGACCTCTGTGAAGGTTCATTCGGTCACATGGTTTCAGATCTATTCCCAGCAGAGAAACACAGACAGAGGGAGGTTTATGATAAAGTATATAGTATATAGCGTGAAGATAAAGAGATCCTTTATTTGTCCCACTGTGGGGAAATGTCAGTGTTGCATCACCAGTTACAGAACAGTAGGAATGAGGAGCACACAGCACAAAATTAGAGAACAATAACTCTATACTAAATAAATAATAAAATAATATCTCTAACTTCAGCATCAAAAGAAACAAGTATAACATCTCTATCATTAGCATAATAAAGAAGTATAAATCTCTACCTTTTGGCATAATAAGCATAATAAGAAGCAAGTATAAAGTACTGTGTATTCTAGTGCAAGTAATGTATTGCTGTATGTTTACATCTGTACATGTAGCAGCACGAGGCTCTGGGACACAGTGTGGCAGTTTGATGGTAGACCCAACTTTAAGACCCACTAACCAGGCCCCACACTCTGGGTGGATTGAGAGGCTGGGGACTTTCTCCATTCTGTTTAAAAGTAAATGTGCACTTTGTCCTCTGCATTTGACCCATCTACACAGACACAGTGAGAACATGCAAACTCCACTCAGTAAGACCCTGTTCTGACCAGGATTTTAACCTATGTTCTTCTTGCTGAGAAGCGAGATTGCTAACCACTCTGCCACTGTGCCTTTCCAGAAACTGGCATTATGACATGATCAACATTCATGGACAGTGGTCTCTGCCCCTCATGGACCAAAGGCTCTGTGTTTTTTACATTTAATTTCCTTTGTTTGATCTGTTTGATTCTCTGATCTGTGAATCGACAGCTTTGTGAAGTCTTCTGAGATAACTGCTGTTTTAGGGATGTACAAAACCTCATGCATTGTTTCCATATTGGAAACTGAATACATTTATTACACTGTAGCCTTCCTGTTTCCACTGTACTCACACAATTCACAAACCGTCTGACACAGCTCAACTGAGAAACATACAATCTAGCGGTGAAATAAAAAAGCAGAACAAAATCAGACAAATCACCACATGTTACAAGTTTCTGTTCACACTGACCTTGTGGTTAAGAGCAAGTTTAGAATGTAAGAAAACATTTTTGTGACTCATGTTGCTGAAGCAAAGTCACTTTATATCACCAAAACACAAACACAACAGCGACATGGAGAAATCAGAAAGATACTGAAAGTGATGCAGTAAATGACAGAAATATACAATTCTATAGATTCAAGACTCCTACTAAGTCTGCTGTCAGATTTTGTCCTGTAAGCAATAAACGAGTGTTTGCATTTGAAGCTTGAGAGACAAGATAGGCAAGGCAAGTTTATTTATATAGCACAATTCATACACAAGGCAATTCAAAGTGCTGAACAAAACAAGAAAGCATTAAAATCATAAATAATCACAGAACATTAAAAAGAAAGATAAAAATATAAAATCCCTCAGTTTTATGCACAGCTAAACAGAACTGTCTTTAACCTGGTTTTAAACATTGTCAGAGAGGAGGCCTGTCTCACATCTTCAGGAAGACTGTTCCAGATTTTAGCAGCATGAATCTGAAAAGCAGCCTCCCCATGTTTAGTTCTGACTCTAGGCACTAACAGGAGTCCAGTCCCTGTGCTCCTCAGAGTCCGGGCTGGTTCATATGGTACTAACATGTCACTAATATATTTTGGTGCGAGGCCATGGAGAGACTTGTACACAAGCAGAGCTGTTTTAAAGTCTATTCTCTGAGCCACAGGAAGCCAGTGCAGAGACCTGAGGACCGGACTAATATGGTCGTACTTCCTGGTTCTAGTCAGGACTCGAGCTGCTGCATTTTGAATGTACTGCAGCTGTTTTACAGCCTGTTTGGACAGACCTGTGAGCAGGCCATTGCAGTAGTCTAACCTACTGGAGACAAATGCATGGATAAGAATCTCCAGGTCTGCTTTAGACACTATGTTTTTGATCCTGGCAATGTTTTTTAGATGGTAAAAAGCTGCTGATGTTACTGATTTGATGTGGCTATTAAAATTTAAGTCTGAGTCCAGTATTACCTCTAGATTTCTGACCTGGTTTGAAGGTTTTAGGGAGAGAGACTGTAGGTGACAGATGACGCTCTCTCTTTGTTTCTGGGGACCAAAGACAATCATTTCAGTTTGGTCTGCGTTTAGCTGAAGGAAGTTGTTTTGCATCCACTCACTGATCTGTTGGATACAGTGAAGGAGTGAGTTCACTGGTCCATGTTCTCCTGCAGTCAGTGAGACATACAGTGCCTTGCGAAAGTATTCGCCCCCTTGAACCTTTCAACATTTCGCCACATTTCAGGCTTCAAACATAAAGATATAAAAATTACATTTTTTGTCAAGAATCAACAACAAGTGGGACACAATCGTGAAATGGAACGAAATTTATTGGATAATTTAAACTTTTTTAACAAATAAAAAACTGAAAAGTGGGGCGTGCAATATTATTCGGCCCTTTGCGCTAATACTTTGTAGCGCCACCTTTTGCTGCAATTACAGTTGCAAGTCGCTTGGGGTATGTCTCTATCAGTTTTGCACATAAGAGACTGGAATTCTTGCCCATTCTTCCTTGCGAAACAGCTCGAGCTCAGTGAGGTTGGATGGAGAGCGTTTGTGAACAGCAGTCTTCAGCTCTTTCCACAGATTCTCGATTGGATTCAGGTCTGGACTTTGACTTGGCCATTCTAACACCTGGATACGTCTATTTGCGAACCATTCCATTGTAGATTTTGCTTTATGTTTTGGATCATTGCCCAGTCTCAGGTCTTTTGCAGACTCCAACAGGTTTTCTTCCAGAATGGTCCTGTATTTGGCTCCATCCATCTTCCCATCAATTTTAGCCATCTTCCCTGTCCCTGCTGAAGAAAAGCAGGCCCAAACCATGATGCTGCCACCACCATGTTTGACAGTGGGGATGGTGTGTTCAGGGTGATGAGCTGTGTTGCTTTTACGCCAAACATATCGTTTTGCATTGTGGCCAAAAAGTTCGATTTTGGTTTCATCTGACCAGAGCACCTTCTTCCACATGTTTGGTGTGTCTCCCAGGTGGCTTGTGTCAAACTTTAAACCAGACTTTTTATGGATATCTTTGAGAAATGGCTTTCTTCTTGCCACATTTCCATAAAGGCCAGATTTGTGCAGTGCACGACTGATTGTTGTCCTATGGACAGACTCTCCCACCTCAGCTGTAGTTATCTGCAGTTCATCCAGAGTGATCATGGGCCTCTTGGCTGCATCTCTGATCAGTCTTCTCCTTATTTGAGATGAAAGTTTGGAGGGACGGCCGGGTCTTGGTAGATTTGCAGTGGTCTGATACTCCTTCCATTTCAATATAATTGCTTGCACAGTGCTCCTTGAGATGTTTAAAGCTTGGGAAATCTTTTTTTATCCAAATCCGGCTTTAAACTTCTCCACAACAGTATCTCGGACCTGCCTGGTGTGTTCCTTTGTCTTCATGGTTCTCTCTGTGCTTTAAACAGAACCCTGAGCCTATCAAAGAGCAGGTGCATTTATACGGAGACTTGATTACACACAGGTGCATTCTATTTATCATCATCAGTCATTTAGGACAACCTTGGATCATTCAAAGATCCTCACTGAACATTTGGAGTGAGTTTGCTGCACTGAAAGTAAAGGGGCTGAATAATATTGCACGCCCCACTTTTCAGTTTTTTATTTGTTAAAAAAGTTTAAATTATCCAACAAATTTTGTTCCACTTCACGATTGTGTCCCACTTGTTGTTGATTCATGACAAAAAATTAAAATTTTATATCTTTATGTTTCAGATTCAGATTCAGAAAACTTTATTGATCCCAAAGGGCAATTCATTTGCAGCCTAACTCAAAGCAGAACACAACAAACTCTACACAAACACACAGTGAGTCTCACAGGTCACACAGCAGCAGGTTACACAATATAAGTTAAAAAAAAAAAAAAAACAATGAACGACACAATTCCCAAAAGTCAAGCACTTCTACCAGAGTTCAACAGTTTTATGGCAGATGGCACAAAAGAATTGGAGAAACGGTTTGTTTTCCGTGCTGGAGCGTAAAAACAACGCCCTGAAGGCATCAATACAAAGTCGGCAATCAGCGGATGTTTGGGCTGAGCCAGAATACATTTTGCTTTACTCAGCACCTGTTCCTCCCACAGAGATTGAAGGTCTCTGAGTTTACCAACCGTGATTTTGGAGCAAGTTCTCACAATACTCTGTAACCTGTTTCTGTCCTTCAGCGTCAGGCTTTGGAACCAACAGATAAAAGAAAAGCTAAGAAGGCTTTCAATAAAAGAGCAATAAAAATTATTAAGGATTGTCCTGTTTACATTAAAAGAGTTCAATTTCCTCAACAGGTACATTCTCTGCTGCGATCGTTTAATGATCGACTCAGTGTTTATGTCAAACTTCAGTTTATTGTCTATTGTTGTTCCCAGATACCTGTAACTGTCCACGATTTCCACATTCCCGCCGTGGATGACGCTGGTGTTGCTGGATGTGACGCGTCTGAAGTCAATGACCATGTCCTTGGTCTTTGCAACATTTAAATCCAAGTAATGGTTATCACACCAGGAGACAAACTGAGCTAGTGCAGGACCATGGCCCGTCTCTGAGCCGGTAAGCAGTGACACCAGCACAGTGTCATCTGAAAATTTAAGCAGCAGTCTGTTCTCCTCTGATGATCGACAGCTGTTCGTGTAGAGGATGAAAAGAAGAGGCGAAAGTACACATCCTTGGGGCGAACCAGTGTTGGAGATTGTAGGAGCAGACATTTTCCCATTCACTAAAACTTGCTGAACACGATCAGTAAGAAAGTTTAATATCAGTAAAAGAAGTTGATCTGGGAGATTAAAATCAGCAGCTAATCTCTGTATCAGAATATGAGGCTGCATTTTGTTAAAAGCCGATGAAAAGTCTGCGAATAAAAGTCTACCATGGGCCCCTGCATTCTCCAGGTGTTTAAAAATGGCATTCAATAGGAACAATTTTGCATCATCAACTCCTTTCTTGGGTTGATACGCAAATTGCAGTGGATCCAGTTGTCCTTCTGTTAAGGAGAGAATGTGAGTCTTTAAAATGTGCTCAAGGCTTTTCATAACCAGTGAGGTTAAAGCAACTGGTCTGAAATCACTCAAATCCTTTGAGTTCTTGGATTTGGGAAGAGGTATCACTGTTGACGTTTTCCACAGCGATGGAATCTGACAAAGGTCAATACATTTTTGGAATAAAAAACAAAACACACCGCTGAGCTGAGAGGCACAATGGTACAAAGTGCAACCACAAATTGCATCTGGGCCTTTGGCTTTCCTGATCTTTGTTTTTTTAAAAAGAGCCTCGACCGTGTTTTGTGAAACCTCAATTTCATTCAAAGGCTTAATTGATCTCCTGCAATTATTAATATCATCTGAAACATCATTTCTTTCAAAACGAGTAAAAAATGAATTAAAAGCACTGGGCAAGTCGGTATCAGACACACTCTTAACAATGACAGGTTTTCTGTCTTCCTTCTGATGACCAATGGAGGCCATGTTCTTAATCCCTCTCCAGGCTGCTCTTATGTCCCCACTACTGTACTGAGCTTCCACTTTGTCTCTGTAGCTTAACCGGGCTTTCCTTATTTCTGTTTTTACTTCCTGTGAAGCATATTTTTTCTCCATCTGGTCACCAATACAATAGGCCATTTTCTTTCTATTTATAGTTGATTTCAGATCTTTAGTCACCCAAGGTTTGTTATTCGGATAAATAACTACCTTCTTTGAAGGGACAACTGAATCAACACAGAAAGTTACATATGCAGAGATTGTATCACACAATACATTGATATCATCCCCACAAGCATTATAAAAGCAGTCCCAGTCTGTACATTCAAACGAAGCCTGTAGAGTAGAAATGCTGTCCTCTGACCAGCATTTTACAAGTTTTTCCTCTCGTGGCAGCCGCCTGAACGCAGGGACGTACTGTGGCATCAGATACACACAGTTATGATAGGAAGAACCGAGAGGAGGATGAGGCAGTGACTTGTATGCACCGCTCACAGTACCGTAGCACAAGTCTAGAGTTGTATTCCTCTGGGTAGTGCTGCAAGTCACGTACTGTTCATAAGTTTTTAATGAATCACCAAGGCGACAGTGATTAAAATCTCCAAGGATAAATTTGGGGGCGTCGGGGCAAATTGTCTCAAGTCTGTGAGTTACGTCACCAATCAGCTGAGCTGCAGCGGTGGCGTCAGCGCGGGGGTGCACATATACAACTGTAAAAAACAGCTGTTGAAACTCACGCGGCAAATAAAAGGGCCGAAGAGACAGCGACAACAGTTCAACATGAGGAGTGCAGATCTTCTCCCGCACAACGACGGTTTTACAGTACCTTTCAGTCACGTAGAGGCACACTCCTCCTCCCCGCGACTTCCCGGTGATTTCCTGGTCCCGGTCCAGTCTGTATGGAGCTCCAAAGCCCCTCACCGAGAGATCCTCATCTCGATCGGTGTCCGTAAGCCAAGACTCCGTAAAGACGAGAAGACAGGCATTGGTGATCTCCTGTCTCACCGTGGCCCAAGCTTCCAGCTCGTCCAGCTTGTTACGGAGAGATTGCGCGTTCCCAAGCAGGATGGATGGGAGCGCGGGCATCCGTCGGCGGTCCTGGAGGCACAAGCGCTTCAATCTCCGGTGGACACCTCCTCGTCTTCCCCTTTTGCGGCGTACGTGTCGAGCCGCCGTATTGCGAAGCTCCGGTGGGATGTCTGGCGGTGGATCCGCGGCCCGCTCAGAGAACCGGAGCTGTAGGAGGGACTCCCGCGTAAAGGTGAGTCGTGGAAGGGATCCAGCCCCGCGCACACTCTGCTCTATCGTTCTGTAGCTTGTACAAAGCACGAAAAACAATCCACATAGGATGAGCAGGTAATCCAGATTGAGTAACCACATTGCTGTGAAACTGAGAAGGTGACACACCAATCACTCTAATAAAAAATGTCAAACACTCTCTGCTCGAGGTAGCTACGCGGGTCGCACACTGTGAAGCGTCCCCGGAAGTACCAACAACAACTGAAGTGTGAAATGAGGCGAAATGTTGAACTTTCGCAAGGCACTGTAAAGTAGGAAGGAGGAGAGGATAGTGCTCAAGTTACCATACTTGAGCACTAAACTGACTCCCTACGCAGCTTGACTGACAGTCTGAGGAGATTAGCCTTCCCTGAGTCTTACCTTGCTAGCCATATGCTAAACTAAAGAGGACTGTTTTAAACCTAGCCTTGAATAAAGAGAGCGTATCTGAAAGGAGGTGAGACAGCAGCAGCCGCCACGGCTAGGCTAGTCTAGGTTACAGCACCAAGATTCATAGATTGCACACCAGGTGTCTTGGAGATAGGAAGGAGCCAAGCCATTTATGGCTTTATATGTTAAGAGAAGGATTTTAAACTTTATTTTGTACTCCACAGGGAGCCAGTGGAGTGATTTTAACACCGGAGTTATGTGCTCCCTCCTTTTGGTGCCTGTTAAGATCCTTGCTGCTGTATTCTGAACGAGCTGGAAGCTCTTCAAAGAGGTTTTAGGGCATGCTGCCAATAAAGCGTTACCGTAGTCAAGTCTTGAGGTGACAAAAGCGTGAATACGTTTTTCCGCGTCACTTTTAGGAAGGAAATTTTGGATTTTAGCTTTGTTCCATATGTGGAAGTACGCCGTTGTAGTTGCTTGGCTTATATAAGCCTTGAAGGAGAGTTCTTGGTCAAAAATGACTCCAAGATTCCTCACAGTGCTGGGTATATACTGACATTATCGAGAGTGATTATCTGGTTAGTGAGGGAGTCACGCAGGCGCTTCGGACCGAGTAGGATCACTTCTGTCTTCTCCGGGTTGAGAAGTAGGAAGATAAGAGTCATCCACGTTTTAAGGTCCTTTATGCAGGCACTAAGCTTTTCTAGCTGATTTGTCTGATTTGGCTTCATCGACAGATAAAGCTGTGTGTCATCTGCATAGCAGTGGAAATTAATTCCATGCTTTTTAATAATGTTTCCTGACGGCAGCATGTAGAGAGTAAAAAGAATCGGTCCGAGTACCGAACCCTGCGGCACACCGAATTCAACTCCAGAATAAGGCGACGAGTTCTGATTTACGTTGACGAAGTGATGCCGATCTGATAAATAGGATTTAAACCAGCCAAGGGCTGTTCCTCTAAGACCTATATCACATTCTAGCCTCTGCAGTAGAATGCTGTGGTCTATTGCAAAGGAAGGTTTCTCACCCATCATCTGTACTTCTTAGCAAGTTTTCCCGATGTTTCGTCCTCAAACTAGCGGACTTCTTCAGGGAATGAATTCTCGGACCGCGCGTTGGAGATTTTTAACCTCAACATCAACCTAATCCTGATACTAACTCATAAACAATCTAAGGTCTGCTTGATGTAGAAGGGAGCAGATCTAACGACCCTGCTGAGGCTAACGACCCTAACTCCTTAGCATGTCACAGACCTAATGCAGCCTCGCGGAAATTCAATTTGGAAGACGTCAGCCAAAGCCACCCCTTCCAGGCCGGCCTCGCATCCCCAGCCTATCGCACAGCAAACGCCCATTTCCAATCAATCTATGCCGGCCAGGCCAGCCGCTTAAAAGCGGAGAAACTCCCACTTCACGGCCTTCTCGAAGCCTTGCAAAGAGTCGTTCTGGAGGAATCGCTTTTGTCTACTCACGCTTACTCGTGCGTGTCCCTGCTGTCCTCTGTCTTGCTGCGTGTGGTCTGCTCCTCCTCTGCGTCGCTGCACCTGCTGCGGGTCTCGTGCTGTGGTCCGTGGGTCTTTGCCGCTCTCCTCCTTTGCGGGCTCTTTCTGCGGGTTCGCCGCTGCTCGTCTCGTCGCGGCCTGCTGCTGTGCGGGAGCCGTGCGCATCCCTGCCTCCTCGGTTTTGGCCCCGCGCTTTGCACTGCAGGCTCAGTTGGCCCCGCGCATTGGTGTGCAAGCTCTCAGTTTAAAGCCCTCGCATTGGTCTGCAGGCTCTCTTTAACCTCTCTTGGACTGCGGCTCTCTCTTTGAATCCCTCTCTTGGACTACAAGCTCTGTTTAAATCCCTCTTTGGACTGCGGCTCTAAGTTTGAATCCTTCACTCTGACTGCAAGCTCCGTTTTAATCCTCACATTGGACTGCAAGCTCTGTTTAGGTTCCTCAGCGTCTCGTGTCCCGCAACCTCTCCCGGCTCTCCGTGAGCCCCAAGTCGTCACGCTGCTCTCCCTCCTCGGGCACCTCAATGATGCTATCCGTATCATCCCTCAGGGTCGTTCTTTTATTTCCAGGCTCCTCTCCCTCGCTGGCTCCGTCCCCTCCCTCAATGATGCTGTCTGCCTGAACGCTGGGTGCCGCTCCGACCTGGCATTCTGGTCCTGTCCGCTGAGCCGCCGGAACGGTGTATCTTTTTCTACAGCGACGTCGTCCCGTCCTCAGATGCCCTGCGTTTCTTCACGGACGCAGACCCGTCCGTGGGTTTTTGGGGTTTTTTCCAGGACCAGTGGTTCGCCGGGCCCTGGCCCAACTCTTTCCCTCAAAGCATCTCCTCCGCACTCCATGAAATATATCCCGTGACCGTAGCCTGCGTGCCGTGGATCCATACGTGGCACAGAAAAAGGATTCCGTGATGCGTGTCAATCTCGACGTGGTAGAAATAATTAACAGGGGTCGTTCGTCCTCTCCCCAAGTCATGTCTTTCCTCAGAAGCATCACATGGCTCTCAGTCCTAAATAATTTCATCATCACCGCTCGTCACGTCCCCGGTCACCTTGACTGTATTGCTGACTGTCTCTCTCGCTTTGAATTCCAGGAGTTCCGACGCCTCTGCCCCTCTGCCAATTCAACGCCATGCCAGATCCCCTCCATGGAATCCCTCGCCCTGGACTAGTCCCTCCGTCTCTTCACCTTCTCCTCTCCTCTGCTTCATCCTACATGAAAAGGGGCCTCTCACCTTCCACGCGGAAATCGTACAGTTTTTCTTGGAAAGTCTACTCCAGCTTTTGCTATGCTCACTGCATTCCCCTAATTCCGCCCTCTGCTTGCACAATCTGTGCCTTCATAGTTCACTGTGCGGACAATCTCCACTACAAGATCTCTTACATTCGCTCTCTTCTCGCCGGGATACAATTCCAGGCCCGCTGTCACAACCCCGCTTTCTCCTCTCTATTTTCTGATCCATCAATCAAACTTGTCATCAAAGGCATTCACAACTGCACCCCGCATTCCTCGGACCACAGGCGCCCCATCACACTGTCCATCCTCCACCAGCTCTGCGCCGCACTTCGCTCCAGCATCTAACTGGTTCAGAGCCCAACTCAAGTCTGTACTGCTGCTTTGTAACTTGTCCCCTCATTTCTACACAGCTCACTCTTTCCGGATAGGCGCAGCTACGCGCGCTGCTTCCCTGGGTCTTTCCCATTCAGCCGTTGGGTCGCTGGTCATCATCTGCCCTCTCCTCATACATCAGGCCTGACACTTCGACTATTCTGGCAGCCCAGCGTCTATCGGCATCTCCGCAAAGCACTTGCAAACTCCCTGGTGGCGGCAGCAGCTGAGCATTTATAAATAGTGTTGCCTTTATAAATAGTGGTGCCTTTATAAATAGTGTTGCCTTTATAAATAGCGGTGCCTTTATATATAGTATTGCCTTTATAAATAGCGTTGCATTTATATATAGCGGTGCATTTGTATATAGCGTTGCATTTATATATAGCGTTGCCTTTATATATAGCGGTGCCTTTATACATAGTGTTGCATTTATATATAGCGTTGCCTTTATATATAGCGGTGCCTTTATACATAGCGTTGCCTTTATAAATAGTGTTGCCTTTATATATAGCGGTGCCTTTATACATAGCGTTGCCTTTATAAATAGTGTTGCCTTTATATATAGCGGTGCATTTATATATAGCGGTGCCTTTATAAATAGTGTTGCCTTTATATATAGCGGTGCATTTATATATAGCGTTGCCTTTATATATAGCGGTGCATTTATATATAGCGTTGCTTTTATAAATAGTGTTGCCTTTATATATAGCGGTGCCTTTATATATAGCGTTGCCTTTATAAATAGTGTTGCATTTATATATGGCGGTGCCTTTATAAATAGTGTTGCCTTTATATATAGCGGTGCCTTTATAAATAGTGTTGCCTTTATATATAGCGGTGCCTTTATAAATAGTGTTGCCTTTATATATAGCGGTGCCTTTATATATAGTGTTGCCTTTATAAATAGTGTTGCCTATATATATAGCGGTGCCTTTATAAATAGTGTTGCCTTTATATATAGCGGTGCCTTTATAAATAGTGTTGCCTTTATATATAGCGGTGCCTTTATAAATAGTGTTGCCTATATATATAGCGGTGCCTTTATAAATAGTGTTGCCTTTATATATAGCGGTGCCTTTATAAATAGTGTTGCCTTTATATATAGCGGTGCCTTTATAAATAGTGTTGCCTTTATATATAGCGGTGCCTTTATATATAGTGTTGCCTTTATAAATATCCATCCATCCATCCATTTTCTACCCTTTACTCCATTTCTGGGTCAGGGAGGTGGCAGTCAGAGATGCCACCCAAGTCTCATAGCACCAGCCCCTCACTGACCCTCTGCAGGTGGTGAGTCCACAGGAGGACGGCTGCTCTCTGAGTGTGAGCATAGCCTTGATCTTTCAGTGGGGGCTTTGGGCAAAGTGGGGTTAAGTGTCTTGCCTTTATATATAGCGGTGCCTTTATAAATAGTGTTGCCTTTATATATAGCGGTGCCTTTATAAATAGTGTTGCCTTTATATATAGC